GGTTTTATGGGTTTCCCATGAGCATCTAATTGGCCAGTGTAGGAACAGATTGCAGGGTTAGATAAATCTTTTGCCCGATTTAGTATGGGTTTTCTTAGGTTCTGACATTCAGTTGCAAGTGAAACTCTTCTCCTTCTGAGAGTACAGAGCTGGGTCTAGGCCAGTGGTTCTCAACCTGGGATCCCCAGATGTTTTTGGCCTACAACTTCCAGAAATCCCAGCCAGTTTACCAGCTGTTATGATTTCTGGGAGTTGAAGGCCAAAAACGTCTGGGGATCCCAGGTTGAGAACCACTGGTCTAAGCCATGAGTGAGCTCTTGCTCACTGACTGGTAGGGAAGTCACTATAAGCACATTTTTCCAAGTGACACACACTTCTGTATTTGGGGCTTTCCTTGCTGGATGAGGATACGGATTTCTGCCATCAAGATCTTGATGGTTCCATAACAAATACCAATTTGGGATTAAAGATATTAGCAAGAACTACAGGCAGTGGCGGAAAAGGTTAACCCTCCTCTACTGCAATTCTAAACGAGTAATTACTGCAAAGTCATCTTCTACTTGGACCAACATTTCCCCCCTTCCCCCTGTTAATCCATCAAAATAACTGGTAAAAATTGCCCAGGTGCACCACAGAGGATTAGTAAATTAATGGTAAAGGAGATCAAGTGGACCTTTCACTGATTCGATATAACTGCATAGGCTATCTGAAAATTGGTTCCTGGAATCTTATAGCAAATCAGAATGAATCAATTATTGTTGTGTTTCTTCCACTCAATTTTGGTCTATAGCAGGCATGGGCAAACTTAGGCCCTCTCTCCGAGTGTTTCAGACTTCAACTCCCCTTCCTTTCCCCCCTCAGCCACTTAAGCTGAAGTCCAAAACACCTGGAGGGCCCAAGTTTGCCCATGCCTGGTCTATAGCAACTCTTAGATTAACCGATCAGAGGGTTTTTTGGGGAAGGTATATTCAGAAGGGATTTACAATTGCCTTCCTCCAAAGCTATGAGACTCATTGACTGCTACCCAGTCAGTCACCTAGTGGGTTTCCATGTTTGAGTGGACATTTGAGCCCTGGTTTCCCAGAGTTATAGTCCAACACTCAAAACTATGACATTAGATTGGCTTTCGGAATGATATAATACAGCTAAAATTTCTTTCAAGCAGTAAACACACACACAAAGCACTTATCACTCTATGCCAATCAAAGGTGCCCCTATGCAACTGCAATTCCATATTGTGACCACATGAAATGATGAAAAAATGGAAGGAAAAACATGGTGTAGCAAGAGGAAGTTTCAGTCATCTTTTGTCAAGTGCCAATTGAAAAAGGGGAGTTGGTAACTACGGGAGAAAAAACATGAAACTTACATGATTGGCTCTTTTTTCCAAGTTGGCCTAGAACAGTGGATCTCAACCTTCCTAATGCCGCAACCCCTTAATACAGTTCCTCATGTTGTGGTGACCCCCAACCATAACATTATTTTCGTTGCTACTTCATAACTGTAATTGTGCTACTGTTATGAATTGCAATGTCAATATCTGATATGCCGGATGTATTTTCATTCATTGGACCAAATTTGGCACAAATACCTGGTATGCCCAAATTTGAATACTGGTGGGATTGTGGGGGGATTGCTTTTGTCATTTTGTAGTTGCTGGGATTTATAGTTAACCTACAATCAAAGAGCATTCTGAACTCCACCAATGACGGAATTGAACCAAAATTAGCACACAGAACTCTTATGATCAACAGAAAATACTGGAAGGGTTTGGTGACGATTGACCTTGAGTTTTGGACTTGTAGTTCAACTATATCCAGAGAGCACCGTGATGGATCTGGACTGAACTTGGCACGAATATTGAATATGCCCAAATGTGAACACTGGTAGAGTTTAGAGAAAGTAGACCTTAGCATTTGGGAGTTGTAGTTGCTGGGATTTATAGTTCACCTACAATCAAAGAGCATTCTGAACCCCACCGACAATAGAATTGGGCCAAACTTCCCACACAGAACCCCCATGACCAACAGAAAATACTGTTCTGATAGTCTTTGGCGACCCCTCTGACACCCCCTCCCAACCCCCCTTAGGGGTCCCGACATCCAGGTCGAGAAATGCTGGCCTAGAATGCACACTTTCTTGGCTCAAGCAAATATTTTATTTCAAAAGCTTCACTTCTGCATTTATAACATTCACATATATTTGAAGAACAAATGGGGAATGGGGCTAGCCTGTCACCATGTTACATAAACATCATTGCTCAGAGACCAAGAATGGCATTTTTATTAGCCTAGAAACTTACATCAGAGCAGGATTAGCCCAGAACATTTATGAAGGGAGGTTGTGGAGAACCACTGACAGATGTGCAAACTAGAAGACTTGAACTGCATCAAAGAGCAGCACCAATAGTCACAGACCCTCCCCATAGCATTGCCCACAGGTGCTTACCTTATTCAGATAAACAAGTTGGGATTTTCAGAGTTGAAAACACAGGCAAACTATAGTTCTCTCCCTGTGTGGATCGTGTGTTCTTCTTTGGTGGAGCACAGTCTTCTGAAGGAATAATCCTCTCAGGGGTGTGAGCTGAAAGTTGCTAATGTTGACACCCTCATTTTGAATAGGAGCATTGCAAAACAAATGGGAAGTTAACAATGCAACACCAACCACAGAAAAGTCTGTTTGAGGTCAGGTGTTTTAAAACCAAACGGCTTTGTTTCAGATATAGAAAGGAATACGCTTTCTGCAGCTTAGTCAGCAGTGGCTTCCTGTATGTATTTGCAGATGTGACACACAAAACAGATGGTATGTGATTAAGAAGGCAGTTGTCTTTGCATGCCCCCTTCTTTAGTTACAGTAAGGAGAATTGGCATATTGGTGGCATCTGGGCAGGACTCCAAGGTCCCACTCAAGAGGATCAGCAGAAAGAAACATATTACATTTTGAAGCGAGTGAAATAATGCACATTTCAATCTAAAAAAGGTCATCTCCACAAGACGATAAGTCCAGATCCTAAATGTACGTAATTGCACCACAGCCTCTTGTCATAGAATTATAGCGTCGGAAGAGTCATAGAATCATAGAGTTGGAAGAGAACTCGTGCACCATCCAGTCCAACCTCCTGCCAAGAAGCAGGAAAATCACATTCAAAGCACCCCTGACAAATGGCCATGCATCCTCTGTTTAAAAGCCTCCAAAGAAGGGGCCTCCACCACACTCCGGGGCAGAGAGTTCCACTGCTGAACAGCTCTCACAGTCAGGAAGTTCTTCCTAATTTTCAGGTGGAATCTCCTTTCCTCTAGTTTAAAGACATTGTTCCGTGTCCTAGTCTCCAGGGCAGCAGAAAACAAGCTTGCTCCCTCCTCCCTATGACTTCCTCTCACATATTTATACATGACCATCATGCTTCCTCTCAGCCTTCTCTTCTTCAGGCTAAACATGCCCAGCTCTTTAAGCAGCTCCTCATAGGGCTTGTTCTTCAGACCCTTGATCATTTTTAGTCACCCTCCTCTGGGCATATTCCAGCTTGTCCACAAAGGCAATCCAGTCCACCCACCTCCAATGCAGGAATACTAATCAAAGCATACTCGACAGATGGCCATCCAGCCTCTTTTTAAAAACCTATAGACAAGGAGACTCCACTACACTCCTGGGTGGCATATTCGACTTCCAAACAGCTCTTACCATCGGAAATTTCTCCCTAATGTCCTTTTCCCCTGCAATTTGAATCCAGTACTCCGTGTCCTAATCTTCAGCAGAAAACAAGCATGCTCCCTTGTCAATGTGTCATAATTTCAAATATTTCAGTGTGGCTATCGTGCCCTTTCTCTGCTTTCTTTTCACCTTAAGAGACCCACTCTGTTGAGAGGAACGCCAGAGTTCCTTAGACATCTCTGGGGATTCTCGGTGAAAGATCAAAGACATTGAACTTCTATCTCCTTCCTACCATTACTGTTCTTCTGCTGAAATATAAAGCTGCTGAGGAGCGTGGGATGCAGTCTAGGTGCGCAGTCAATTTGCCAGGAACAACTGTGAATTGGGATTCTGCTATATTAATTGTTTTATTTTTAGCTGCATCATTTAATATGAACTTATACTAGACTTCCCTAAAGAATAATTTTGCTCTCACAGCTTGGCCTTTCCAGAGGAAGTGGGGAGATGATTTTCTCTCATTTCCCCTTGAGACCTCTATGGGAGCCTCCAGAAGATTGGTAGGCGGTTCTGGGTGAGAGGGAGAAATGGTGAAAATGTACAATCTCATAAACAATGGGTTCCATTAAGTCCTGGAGGCAGCAACCAGATTTAAAGTGGATTCATTCTCTACTGTGATGAGCTCCCAGCTTTTTTAAAAAAATGAAGTGACTTGGTCTGAAATATGGCACAACAAATGCACCAATTAGACTGTTAAATGCAATTCACATAATCTGTGCATTAATTTCAGCAATGTACTGTTCACATTCTCCAGAAGCCCTCCCTAGCCTGGTGCCTGCTTGATGATATTTTGGGTTTCAGATCCCATAATCCACAGCCAACATTGCCAATGAGAGGTCATGGGGCTTCAAGTCACAAGCATCTGAAGGGCATCATGGCTGGGACTCTGTTTTGCTAACATAGAAAACAGTTAACATAAACCTCAAATGATACAATACCATACAGGCAGTCCCCGAGTTACAAACATCCAACTTACAAATGGCTCGTAGTTAAGAACAGGGGTGAGATAACAGGAAGTGAGAGAAATCTACTCCTAAGAAGGGAAAGGGAATGCTACCCCTCTATTTTAAATATCTTGGTCAGACCACACCTGGAATACTGTGTGCAATTCTGGGCACCACAATTGAAGGGAAATGTTGACATGCTGGAATGTGTCCAGAGGAGGGCAACTAAAATGATCAAGGGTCTGGAGAACAAGCCCTATGAGGAGCAGCTTAAAGAGCTTGGCATGTTCAACCTGCAGAAGACACGTCTGAGAGGAGACATGATGGCCAGGTATAAATATGTGAGAGGAAGTCATAGGGAGGAGGGAGCAAGCTTGTTTTCTCCTGCCCTGGGGACTAGGATGTGGAACAATGGCTTCAAACTACAGGAAAGGAGATTCCACCTGAACATTAGAAAGAACTTCCTAACTGTGAGAGCTGTTCAGCAGTGGAACTCTTTGCCCAGAGTGTGGTGGAGGCTCCTTATTTGGAGGCTGGATGACCATCTGTCAGGGGTGCTTTGAATGCAATTTTCCTACTTCTTGGCAGAGGATTGGACTGGATGGCCCATGAGGTCTTTTCCAACTCTGTGATTCTATGATACTATGAAATTCACTATGGAAAATGTGTCTCCACTGATGCTTTATAACCAATCCTTGTTTCCATTACAAACAATTTTTTTCAAAAAACAATATTCACAGGGACAGAAAGTGAGGTGAAATCTTCTAAACAGGGGCCCAGGCAGGAAAACAAACATCACAGGGGTTAACTCTTCCTTATGCTATCCAAAGCTAATATATTGGCTGGAGTTAAACTGTTCCAACTTACATGCAAATTCAACTTAAGAATAAACCTACAAAATCTTATCTTGTTCATAACTTGGGCACTGCCTGTTTTTATGTTTAAAAGCTACTGGTGTGAATTTTGAACTCTTCCTATAAGTCTTTCCAAGTCTTCAGGGCACACCATTGCATTTTAATACCTAGCTGTTATTTTGCAACTAGGGCACTCAGTGGCTACTAGTCATAATGGGTTTGTATCTTCTCCAGTAACAGTAGCAATGCACCTCTATATGAATACTTAGAGATCACAAACAGGGTGGAAGCTTGCAGATGTAGTCATGTCTTGCTTGTGGACTTCCCCAAGACAATCAACTGGTGTGACTGAACAAACCTCAGGGCTAAATAGGTATTGGGTTTGATCCTGCATGGTTTGTCTTATGTTTCCTCCTTATGCAAGAAACCCACATTTTCTTGTTCCTAAATTAAAGCTAGTATATTCCCAGATTGACAGTATAGGTTTTTGGACAATCTAATAATTCATATTGGGCCCCCTGGTGGCGCAGATGGTTAAACCAAGCTGCTGAATTTGCTGACCCGAAATGTTGGTGGCTTGAATCCAGGGAGCGGGGTGAGATCCCACTGTTAGCTTCAGCTTCTGCCAACCTAGCAGTTTGAAAACATGCAAATGTGAGTAGATCAATAGGTACTGCTTTTGTAGGAAGATAATGATGCTTCATGAAGTCATGAGGGCCATATGACCTTGGAGATGTCTACGGACAACTTTGGCTTAGAAATGCAGATGAGCACCACGCCCCTGAATCGGACACGACTAGACTTAGTCAGGGGAAAGCTTTATCTTTACATTTTAATCATTCATATAAAGAAAATGATATATAGAACCTGGAAAAGCTATGTGCTTGGACTATAACTCCCTGAATTTGGCCATTTTGGCTGGAGGATTCTGGGAAATGTTGGTCAGACATTGAACTTTTGCAAGCTCTGATTTTATGCATATTGGTCTGTGAGAAGTGAAGTGAAGCATACAAATGCAACAAACAAACATATAAACATGTCAACAAATGACTGTATCTACCTATCTTAGTATCAATAATTTTCTAAATGACAGAAATACTATTCTGTGATGTTAAATCCACAAAAAAGTGGGTTGGCATAGCAGCATTCATGCTTGCATTCTAGTCAAGCAAACATTTAGACCAGGCATGGCAAGTTTTGGCCCTCCAGGTTTTTTGGACTCTAACTCCCACAATTCCTAACAGCCTCAGGCCCCTTTCTTTCCTCCTTCAGCCACTTAAGCAGCTGAGGAGTAAAAGGAAAGGGCTATTAGGAATGGTGGGATTTGAAGTCCAAAACACCTAGAGGGCCCAAGTTTGCCCATGCCCGATTTAGACCAAAACAGGTAGAAGTATCAAAAATAAACCGAAAACAGCATACTTACACAGAGTATGCACAAAAAACAGCTTTCCAGTTTCACCAACCCAAATCTACCTAATCTTATATTACACATACCACAGGAAAAGTGTGTTTTTGTCAAAGCTCATTGGTAATTAGAGCTTTGAATAATCGAAGAGTAAAACACAGTGAAAAACAAGACACATATTTATCTGGAGGAAAAAAGACCAGAGATACTTTTAGGTATATGGGAATTTTTTTTAAAAAAAAACAGTAGTTTTTGAACTTACTTCTATAAGAGTTGCATAAATTTAGGAGGGCATTTTAATTCAAAGGAGGCCCAAAACACTTTTTTTGGATGAACGAGAACAAGAAATGTGATATAAAAACAAATAGCATATAATTTGAGATTACAGAATGTTTATTCATGGAAAAGACAGAAACATTTGAGGATTTGACCAGTCACGGGTGATTATGAGCAACCTACGCAATACAAAGATGACAACTGTACATTGGGTATTCCTGGTAGCTTTAGGCAAATGTAAAACACTATTGGACAAAGCTATGTTAAGATCTTACTTCTGTTGAAGTGTTATACATAATAAAATCACAGAAAGTAGAGGGGCTTGACTAGTATAACTAGAAACTAGTATAAATATTGCCCTGTAGTGTCTAGGACAAAACAAAGTAGTTGTCATACAATCCAGGTGGAAAATGTGGTTGTATGTTTATCAACTGTCTATATCAGCTATAGCAAAACAAATAATTATTACAGAACTACATATGCTGTAAAAAAAAGAAATAGATTCTATGGGATTGCCCCTCTCTTTTTAATTGAACTGCATGTTTCACCCCAGTTTCCGGTTGCAGAATATCCTTTCCCCACAAAAGGTGGGTCTTCTTTTGGAAAACAAGAAAATACCTAATTAGAACTAGAATGATGCATGAAGTCGACACAGCTGCAGAGACAAGGGGGAGAGATTTTGCTTTAGGGACTGTCAGGGTGCTATAAATCAGATTGCTTATGAATACAGTGAAGGGAACCGATGAGGTGCTATATATTCCTATGTGTTTTGTATGTTCTCACTTGTTTCTGCCACTAGGAAATAAAGGATCAACAGGTACTATGTTATTATGTACCTTGTTTCATTCCTTTTCTTCCTCTGGCCTAGAACATGATGGAACATGTTGGTGATCCATGTTTACAATAGGCAGGTCAAAACCACAGCCTTCTAGTTTCTTCTGTTCGCATGTTTCTAAGTGAAAATGTTGCACTGATTGTATACTGGGCACCTTAACCCATCTTCCTGTGCAGTGAAAGGAGTAACATCATGACAAAAGGGCCCCAGCTTCCCATACAAGATTACATTACTTCAGGTCGTAAGTGTCCAGTTATACGTGTGTGATTGTGATGCAATGCCATGATACCTTGAGTGTGCCATATAAAATAATCCAAATGAAGGGGATATTTCCACCTGAATCACTGATCACTTCAACACCTAGATCAAATCTGGATGAGAAACACCCCAATATGTGTGAGGTTCTGTTAATGTACATGTAATATTTATATGCACGCCACAGCAGTGAGGCATCATGGCATGAGAAGCTGTAGGTGAAGAACATCAGTGAATTCATCAAGACAGTATCCAATACGTTTTGAGTACAATCTTCTTCTATTCAGATCAGTGGACATTTGACTAATGATTTGAATGGGAAGTAGATTGCACCTTGCAACAACATTTCAGCATCAATGAACCCAGTTTCTGGCCCAGTGCACGATCTTACAGGTCGTAAACTGAAGAGGTGTGCATGTGAAGGATTAATTGCAGAAGTCTCATGCCTGCTCCTTACAAGAGGAAGCCCTCTTAAATTCCATGCATGCTTTTTTGTCTTCTCCGCCTTCTATTCATGCACTATGTAAACAAAGGATGCTGGGAAGACACCTTTCCTGTGAGGCTGCCCTTCAATCATGCCACACTGCAAAAAACAAAAACAAAACAAAAAAAACCCAATGCAACATAAGACCATTTGAACAGAGAGAGAAAATAAAGAAAGTAGTCCACAATGATTACAAGTCCTACAGAAGTGCACAATGATTGCATTTCTGATTCTCTTATTCTCCAAATGTCCCACTGCCATGGCAAAATCAATGTATTATATGCAACCTCCTTTAATTATATATAAATATAATAAACAAATAAACTTTATTTATAACCCGCCACCAACTCCTCGAAAATACTTGGGGCAGCTCATAGAAGCACAACCAGTGCTAACCATACAATAAACAATACATAAACATAAAAACTAATGTATTTATTTGCTGGCCAGTGCTCTGAAAAGTGTCAATTAGCTAGACTTAGTTCCTACTATTTATTTTCTATAGTTTTCTTTTCGTGTCAGGAGACACTTATAGAATCATAGAATCAAAGACTTGGAAGAGACCTCATGGGCCATCTAGTCCAACCCCCTGCCAAGAAGCAGGAATATTGCATTCAAATCACCCCTGACAGATGGCCATCCAGCCTCTGTTTAAAAGTTTCCAAAGAAGGAGCCTCCGCCACACAGGGAGGGAGTTCCACTGCTGAACGGCTCTCACAGTCAGGAAGTTCTTCCTCATGTTCAGATGGAATCCAGCTTGTCAATATCTCTCTTGAATTGTGGTGCCCAGAAATGGACACAATATTCCAGGTGTGGTCTAACCAAAGCAGAATAGAGGGGTAGCATTACTTCCCTAGATCTAGACACTATGCTCCTATTGATGCAGGCCAAAATCCCATTGGCTTTTTTTGCCGCCACATCACATCACTTGAGAAACAGCAAGTCGCTTCTTGTGTGAGGAAATTGGCTGTCTGTAAGGACGTTGCTCAGGGCGATGCCTGGATGTTGGATCCTTGTGGAAGGCTTCTCTCAAGTCCCCACATGGGGAGTTGGAGCTGACAGAGAGAGCTCAATCCACTCTCCCCAGATTTGAACCTCTGACCTGTCTGTCAGCAGTGCTGCTGGCACAAGGGTTTAACCCATTTCACCACCAGGGGCTCCTTATAGTGCCAGCAAAATAGTACTAGACACCCAGTGTTTAGATTGCTGGCTACTGTGGTCCAAGGCTATTGCCATGGGACTTACTCTGATAAAGAATGGGCCCACTGAAAGAAGAGGGTCCCCAGTACAGAGCTCTTTGGTGTGGGCTGCACAAAAGCAAATCTGGCTTTGTGCTATAGGATAAGGTTCAGGACAGAGGTAAGAAACTCTTCATCCAGTCGGAAGCTCTGATGACCACTTACCCACCAATTGGAATCCTCCTCCCCATCTACTACAATGATCTCTCCAGCCTGGAAGGTTAACTCATCTTCATGATCAGCTTGACAGTCAAAAAGTGCTTTGACTCGACGCAGATAGGATTTGGTCTGAAATAAGCAGCACAATTCAGTGACTAGCTTGCACACAAAGATAATGGAAGTACTTGTTCCTTACACAAGTATAAGCCTACACAAGAAGGAAATGTTCAGAAATGAAAGGGTGTTTAATGAATGGCATGATTATATATATCTTAATAAAAGAAATGGGGGAATACTTGAATTTTGTGGTTTTGGCTACACCTAACTAGTCAATCAAAGTATTATTATTATTATTATTTGCTTTATTTCTATACCGCATTTTTCAGCCCTTAACAGGCGACTCAATGCGGTTTGCGGAACTGGTATATGTACATTTAAAGAAACTGGTATATGTACATTTAATGTACAAAATCCCAGCCATATAGTGAAGCAGACTTCACATTGTGAGATGTGAGGATTCATACAAGTACCATATTTCTCTTAATCTAAGGCACCCTTTTTCCTGTTTAAGGGACTCTAAAAAGTTGTAATTAGTACACAGTGAACTTCACATTCTTCAGAAACTGTTTTAAATGTTTTAATTTTCATCTTGAGGAGAGAGGCAACTTGTGTTCAAGTATAGCCATTCTTATGACCTTGTCACACAGCTGCCAAGAATGTTGCGCATTGTGGTAGGGTGTGGGGAACGTGGCGCCCCACACCCCACATTGCCTGACTCCAGCTGAGGGCAATCCCATGGAGGGAAGTGTGGAGTGTGCGTGGAGCGCGCATGGAACACGCAGCTTCCCCCCCATTGATTCTAATGGCAATACAGGAAGTGTCCTGTGTTGCTGCAGTGGCGGCATGCGCCAACTCAATCCTACTTCACCCATGGAGTCCCGCTGGCATCGTTAGATGGGAGCTGGCAGACTCCGTGGGCGAAGTAGGACAGAGCTGGCGCATGCTGCCAAAATCCGCACTTTGTGATGAGGTTCTCATCAGCAAATGAGGCACAAAAACAAACATAGGAAGGCAATTTTGGAGACCAGATGAATTTCAGTTGCCAACTCACCCACATATGCATATAATATTAAAATATATATTGAAATATATAACCTGATGCAACCTAAAGACTGTACCTGTTTTCTACCTGTTTTCTGTCTTGTAAGAAAATAAAGAAAAAGAAGGGAAAGTGGCAAAGACCCTCATCCCCTCAGCCTAAGAAGCAGAAGTGGGAAATGATACCTGTTTCAGAAGCATTTATTGGGAAACATACAAAGAACTCACCGAGTACCCCCTTTTTGGCAATGGTGGCGGGACATCATCTAAAGACCCAGGTGAGTGGGGAGAAGACCAGTGATTCTCTCTTGAACATTGATTTGGCTCAAAAGATGCCTCCTGTTCTTTCAAAGCAACTGTAATACAAATAAATAATAATAATAATAATAAACTTTATTTGTACCCCGCTACCATCTCCCCAAGGGACTCGGTGCAGCTTACATGAGGCTGAGCCCACAATACAACAATAAAAACAATAGCAACAGTAATACAAAACAATAAATAAACCCATAAGCAGAAAATAAGCAATAAACATTAACAATAACACAACGACGTTTAAAAACCTATGGCTGGGCCAAATGTAATAATTAATTTTTTAAAAAACAATGCTGGGCATGACTAGGTGACATATAACTAGGATAGAAATTTTGGAGAGGGATGAAATGTGCAGACAATCCTAGATCATTAATAAAGTGCGTTTAGGGACATATTGCTGGGAGTTTCCTTATTCTGGGAAGGCACACTGAAACAACCACATTTTCAGGCACACTGAAACAACCACGATAAATATCAGTCACATTGAAACAACCATGGTAAATATCAGATAACATTGTGGATGTTTTCAGGGGGCAAGAAAAAAAAGAATGGGCGATGCTCTACAAAATTGAGACAATAATAGCTTACAAAATCCTATCCATATAGTGAAGCAGACCTTACATTGTGAGATGAGAGGATTCATACAAGTACAATTTTTCTCTGATTCTAAGGCACATGAAATAAAACATAAGTAGAACCTAAATAAAACATAAATGAGCTTTTCAGATGTATAAAACTACCAAACCACACAACTACATACTGCCCACTACAAGTAAAGTACAAACTAAGTGACTATTTTGAAAAATAGAACAAAGAAAACATACACACAATCACACGAAAGTATTACAAACTTCCCATTTTCTATTGTGATCCCTTGAAATGATAATGTGATTACACTTTAACTGTAGGAAACACTCTTCCAATTCATTAATCTCTCCGTTTATAAATTTCCCCATCATTGCCAAGAAAAAGTGATGAATAGTATCAATCTTTTTAAATATTAGTCAAAGATTTCTCCTTAATCAGCACCAAACATCACCTTCAGAAGGAATAGCTGTGTTTGAAAATATTCACAGCCTGCTCCCCCCTGTCTTAAGCATCACGGGTTCACCTTCAAAAGGCTCTCTCTTTTCCCATGAGAGTTACATCATTGCTGGTGTTTTGAGAAACAGGAAAGTCAGATAAAAAAGGCCCATTTGATTCACAAATATAGAGTTCAAAGAATAGAAAAAAGCATACCAAAACTGGAGCAACTGCCCATAAAAGAAATTTATAACTGGTGGCACAGTGAATTCAGGGATTGCATGGTTGAGATACTTGAAGGCTTTGATTAGCGGGGATGACGACATTTTCTGCATCCATTCCTGCCTTGCGTTTCCTGTTCCCTTTTGGCTTAGTTGCAGTGCTTATACATGGCTGGATAGAGACACACAACTAAATAGATTTCCCAAACAAAATATATACTGTGTGAACTATCCTTGTTGTAATGCCAAGTATTTCAGGGTGCTTTGTTATCAGATGAGCCACTAAGACCCATTCGCTTCTCAAGAGGCTTTGGTGGAGGTGATAAATAATTCTTCACGTAATGCATAGTTAAGTCACAGAGTTCACTAAATGATGATGTCTACCAACTTACTAGGCTTTAAAAGAAAAACAAATACATGGAAAATATCATTTATGTTGAAGGCTCTAGGATTAGAAACTGATAGCTAGTTGCTGACAGCAGCAGGAAACCTCTACCACTCTTTAAGGCAGTGGAGACACTGCCCATAATCACTACTTCTCCCATTCCACACTTTCAGGTTATTCTCTTCTGGCCTCATAGGCTCTTCTCCCCTTCATGCCTCACTTGCTGTCTTCTTTTGACTACTAAATTTTCCTTTCCCTCCACCCACCTCCCTCTTTTTGTCTAACCTTTTCCTCCTTTCAACAAAAAGGAAGAAGCCATGAAAAGGAACAAAATCTGGCTACCATTTAAAAAAAAAAACCCTCTAAAATTAGGACAACAAATAAAGAGCAACACTAAAAAAAAGACAGGGGGATTCCATACAAGAATCAATCAGGACCAGCTAACACCTCCCAACAGGAAGCAATCAGCCAGGTTTTGATGCTACAATGCCATTAAATGCTAATCAAGGTGGCCAGTTGCAACATTCACACTTGCCTCAAGCAGACAAGAGTTCTTTCTCCCACCCTGGACATTCCACAGATATATAAACCCCACTTGCCCAGTTTCCAACAGACCTCACAACCTCTGAGGATGTCTGCCATGGATGTGGGAGCAACATCAGGAGAGAATGCTTCTGGAATTCACAGCAACCCACTTTATCTCCTTGTCAGTTTTTCTTGTCACTCTTTCCCATCTTCTGTGGAAAGTAATACCAGCCATACAAAGCAACTAATGCTGTTCTCCATAGAACGATCTAAATGTGGGCAGACCAGGTGCTCTTGGAAAACATATGCAGTTTCCAGTGCTTGACTTTGTAGACTCCTCATAGTGAGTGATTCTGGGTCTGATAGCTCGATCACTCACTTTGCCAGATTGGAAGCCCAGCCATAGTTGCTTGAGAACAAACAGAAGATAATGAGTTATTGGACTTCCTCCAGGCATCTTGCTGACCACCCAAGATGCTGGGAAAGATAGGCCATTAGTCTGACTGATCATTGATCTAGTTCATACAGGGCTAAATGAGCAGCCCTACAATTAAATTGTGAAACAGAATAATGCTTGGCCTCAACACAGACACACACACCAAAAAAAAAAATCTTTTAAACTATTATGAAAGGAGCTGTGCCACTTCTAGTCACTGGTAATATCATGGGTTCATGACAATCATATGACTAAAATTCAAACAGCATTTTTTTTCCAGCAAGAAAAAGGAGCAATTCTGACAACTATCAAAAAAGTAGCTTCCCTACAATACAAGTGTTTCCTTCATGCACTCACGGTATTATGTAGAATCCCAGCTACAACTGAATAGTAACTTTAGTGGAAACAATCTTACCTGGCTGCCAGGAATCCTCTTCCTCTTGGGTTTCAGAAGATCCAGAGCTGAAGGAAACAACAAGGAACATTCATTCAACTTAAAAGATTGCATATTCCCTCTTGGAGGTTTATGAATAACATTTACCAACTGATATATACCAGCTGACTAGGGAGTTACAAGCACACTACAGAATGTCCACTGTATCTGTGGGTGTGGGATCTGTGGATTCAACCAAACATGGATTCAGACCATAGTCCTGTACACAACACAAAGCGAGGTGTCGTGTGGTTTCTAGGCTGTATGGTCATGTTCTAGCAGCATTTTCTCTTGATGTTTTGCATGTATCTGTGGCTCCTCTGAAGATGCAGGATCCCCTGAAGATGACAAGCACTGTTGCAAGCAAAACATCAGAAGGAAATGCTGCTAAAACATGGCCATACAGCCCTGAAACCACATAACACCCCAGTGATTCCGGCCATGAAAGCCTTTGACAATACAATGCACAGAGTCTACACAATAGATGTAGCATACTACATACAGTACTATACTTGCACTCTCCAGCAGTAGTGCTGCAGGCCAAAGCAGGGGACTGATCTACTCCTTGAGGGTGGGGACCTCAAAGAATTCATGGAGCTTGTCTCCAGCTGCTGCATTTTTCCTATCTGTACTGGTTTCTGGAACCAAACGCTTGTAGACACCAAGCACTAATTTTCACAAGGATGTATCTAAACCTCCTAAATGAGCATATATATTCTCTGCAATTGAGCAAGATTTATAGACAAAGAGCCCACTCTGATTCAAAACAAAGAGCAGAAAAGCAACACCTGGCACAAAGCAACACATCACAGACAAATGTATTATATTCTTACTTCAAGCTCCTAGGAGAGGCTCCTTCTGGAGAGCAGCGTCTTGGAAGGGAGAAAGACTTAGAGTCTAATGGAAAGCAAAGACAAAGCTTTTTGTTTTATTCATAAGCAGGAATCGAATCAGATTATTCTGTCTAAAAATTCATGAAGGAGCAATCATTTTGGAGAGACATTTTAAAGCCGTAATGAATTCCATTTTTGATTGTAACTTTTTGGTTACCATCCATATCTTATGAGTCACACACACACAAAATTTTGGAAATTCTTCAGTATGAGGGTTAAGCCAAGAAATGCTTAAATCATGGCCAAATATTCACAAATCCAATCAAGTCAAATTACAAATCAAATTACACAGGCTGCTAAACTAATCTACCTAAGAGTTGAGGGATAAGAGTATTCACAAGAGCATCTGTTTACATCACAGAGGTAAGGAGAGCTGGACAAGAGGGGAGGACACTTTGGGTCACTCCAACTAACTAATCCTTGCTCTTCAAGTACTAAATTTTGTTATACATCTAACAGAATCCAGATTATTTGCTCCTCACAACAATTATAGACAGTATGTGAGGGGAAGTCATACAGAGGAGGGAGCAGAATTGTTTTCTGATGCCCTGGAGACTAGGACGCAAAGCAATGGCTTCAAACTACAGGAAAGGAGATTCCACCTGAACACAAGAAAGAACTTCCTAACGGTGAGAGCTGTTCAGCAGTGGAACTCTTTTCCCAGGCGCGTGGTGAAGGCTTCTTCTTTGAAGGCTTTTAAACAGAAACTGTACTGTTTCATTCAAAGCACTGTTGGGGGTGCTTTGAATGAGATTTTCCTGCTTCTTGGCAGGGGGTTGGACTCGATGGCTCATGAGGTCTCTTCCAACTCTGTGATTCTACGTACACATCTTCCTTCTCCATTCTGAGTCACTTAGCAATACCTCTGAGATCCTGTGACTATGTATCACAGAAAAAGAATCAGTTCTGTATTTCTTCAGTATGTGAAATAACAGAACTCTATAAGTCAACGTTGAAGGCAAATGCACACACGTGGCTGATACACATGGCATTTTTTTTTTAAAAAAAAGAAAATAGTCTCTGTGCAAAGAGTTCAGTGTGGTGAACTGAACTTAGAAATGATTTGGTAAATTGGGATTTGTGACTCATCACATTCTGGCTCAGCTTATGTGCAAAAGTAAGTTAATCAAAAGCTCTCTTAAATTCCTTCCCACACAAACAATGTGTGGGAAACAATATTTGTGTGCAGTATAAGTGATTTTTGCTCAAATGGAGCACATAGATCCTAGGTCTTCATTGCCAAACTGTCGTGAATCATAAACTCATAAGAGTTGGAGACGGCACAGGCCACACAATCCAACCCAGTGGCATGCAGGAAAACACAATCAATGTAACCCTGACAGATGGACATCCAGTCTCTGCCTAAAAACATCCAGAGAAAGAGACTTCATCACACTGTTGAACAGCTCTTGCCACCAGGAAGTTCTTACTAATATTTAGGTGGAATCTCTTTTCCTGTTGTTTAACTCTACTGCACCATGACCTTGTCTTTGGAGTAGCAAAAAACAAGCTTGTTTCATCTTCCATATAGCATCATTTCAAAGTTACTGAATTTTCTAGAGGAACTGCAGGGTTTTACCCCAAAAAAGTGACATGTCCATAATTAGTTACAGTTGTACTCGTAATATGAGACATGGTTGGGTAAGTACAATGGAAATTTATAGACTTGAAAGCTATTTAACTGAATAACCAAACAGATATTTTAACAGGAACAAAAATTTGGAGTCAAGAGCAAGTGGCCCTTTGCCTTCAGTATGGCTGATATGGCAAGAAGATATGAATTGTTTAACGACTTCTAGAGCAGTGGGTCCCAACTTTTTTTGACCACTTTGCCCAGAGACTGCTTTGCCCAGAGACCACTTTCCTACATTGGTACCAAAATGGTTATGAATCAGTTTTTGGTCAACTATAGATTTAGTTTGGTTATTTGGGGTGCTGATTCAGAAAACTGCACTAGATAGACCACATCAGCTCGAGTTTCTGATACAGAACATATACCATCCAGTAGTCGCCATCTGCTCACTCACAGAAAACCATATTTAATAATCTAGAACTGATGTGGTCTATCCAATGCAATTTTCTGAATCAGCATCCCCAAATAACCCCAGGAACAGACATAAAAACGAAAACACAAAGACATCCGTACTTCCAGACACTACAAGGAACAGCTCTGCTCAGGGGGAGGGAGGAGGAGGAGAAGTAGCAGGAGGCTTGTTGTCATGCCTTTTGTGGGTAGTCAGCCTCCCCGCTCCCAATATCCCCATTGCCTTGGCCCCATAAGAGGGTTTTGTGAGACCATTTTCTCTCGTTGCCACCGTGTAGTAATGGTGTGGCTGCAGACCATATTTTAGTTCTTGGGGACCACTGGTGGTGCATGGACCACAGGTTGGGAACCACTGTTCTAGAGCACTACTTTCTAAACTGTGGGTTCCCAGTCCCAAATGCAGTCCCCTTAGCTCAATGTTCGTGTCACAGAAAATTTGGAAACACTAAAAGGTTTCTGAATGCCACCCATTTGCACAAATCTCTTAGGGACAACATGCAGTGTTTACAATGGACTCTGCAGAAAATGCTTCAGTAACACTCCACAAAAAAGGAAAAGCGGCTTGTTTAGAAAGGCTTGACTTATTATCAGTAAATGTTTGGATTTATATCTGTTTTATAGGCCGATAAAACCAGGATCATGTAAAAAAAATTCAGACAGAAAAAGGTTGTGAGTGGGAAAAGTTTAAGAAGCCCTGATCTAGAGAGCCAAAAGTGGCCCACCCAGGTAGTAAACACAGAAATGGTATGAATGTTGGAAAACCATATAATAAAGAAGACTGCGACTGTATAAAGAAGCTTTATCTGACACTTCACATTAAGGATCATTCAATGCAGTATGGTCTGGACCCCAACTGAGGAAATGAGTTCTCTTACCTTCAGTTGGGCTGCTGAGATTCAATGGTGTGCAGGGGGAAGGCTCCGAGGAAGTTCGCTTATGCCGAATTGTTAGAGGTGGAGGCAAGAGCTTTCTAGCTGTTGTGCCTTCAAGGAAGGCAGACCGTTTGGATGGGGGCGGTGGAGGAGGGAAACTGGGAGCTGAAAAAATAGATTTAATAATACCATATTTGTTAAACTGATAGAATTCATGAACAGAGCCAATGAACAGAATAAGGTGGTATCATTACCAGGGCTCTTATTTCTGATAGCAATTAAATCAATCAAAATTAAATTAAAGGGAATTTATGGGAATAATGAGTAAAGGAAAAGGTAAATGCTTCCCCTTGACATTAAGTCTAGTCATGCCCGACTCTGGGGGTGGTACTCATCTCCATTTCTAAGCTAAAGAGCTGGCGTTGTCCATAGATACCTTGAAGGTCATGTGGCCAGCATGACTGCATAGACCAGCGTGACCTTCCTGCAGAAGCAGTACCTATTGATCTACTCACATTTGTATGTTTTCAAACTGTTAGGTTGGCAGAAGTTGGGGCTAACAGTGGGAGCTCACCCCACTCCCCAGATTTAAACCACTGGCCTTTCAGTCAGCAAGTTCAGTAGTTTAACCTGCTGCACCACTGGGGGCTCCACACAATGAATAACTATATAAAAAGAAGGACTCAAAGTCTTAAAAGCTTTGAAGTTAGAGGGAATAAGGAAACAGTAGTGGTCTCTGTGAACAAAAATAATAATTAAGCATTTAAGTTTTCTTTTCAGCAAATGGAACACAAGAAGATTAAGGAAGAACCTCTTCCTCAAAGGGAAGGAAGTCCAGACAAGACACTGAAGTAGTGTCTGTGTTTTTATTATTTAATTGGATTATGTTATGGTTGTTTGGTTTAAGTATGTTCTTTTTCTTTTTGAAGATGTATTCTTTTTATTATTATTTTTGCTGAAACTTAATAAAAACATTTTAAAAATACAGTCAGTGCTTATTTCATCTTGTGATGTTAGTGGGTCTCTGGGTTTGATCCCTATTCTCCCTTCCTCAAACTGAGGAGGGGAGGAATCTTAGGGTGAGAGTGCTGCTCTGAAAACAATGTGTGTAAATATTTTCCTAATTGTTAGATTTGGTTTGAATTCCACACTTTGTACAACTGTGTCTGATGCTTAATGTCATCATTTGGGTCTGCCTAGTGTACCACTGTCTTGTAATGGCAACATGATCTCTCACTGGGACGACATCATCATCATCATCATCATCACTTTATTTCTTAATTAGTCGGTCTCCACCAAAGTGCTCCGAGCGACTTACAATTTAAAATAGCTTATACACAATATAAAACATTCAATATAAAAACATTCAACATAAAAACATCACAAGGGGTCGTCTCTAGGTCTTAAGTTAGGATGCTCATATTTCAGGCTTGATCGCCCAATTTCATTGCAGATACGAAATAGCCAAGAAGAAGAAAGTCTCAAAGTCTCAAGATGTCTCTTTATCAGAAATAATTCAGTAATTGAATTCTCATCTGAGAGGAGTAAACAGTGAGCAATGTTTTGTTTTATTAAACACTTTATGATTCTATTTAGCCATAGATTCCTGTATGGCAGGTCTGGACTAGATGGCCCTTGGAGCTCATTCAAACATTATATTTTCCATTGCTATGGCGGTGCTTATCTAAGTTTTGGTTTTGATTTGAGGTCCCTGTGTTTATGTCTTTTCCCCTCAAGTCAAATACAACCAATACAAAAACTGAAGATGCTAGAAAACCAATAGGCTGGAATTAAGAGGTTGCCATTGTGCATGCAGTATCATATTTTAACCCAGATATTTCATATGTATATTAGGAGCTCCCGGTGGCACAATGGGTTAAACCAGGCATGGGCAAACTTCAGCCTTCCAGGTGTTTTGGACTTCAACTCCCAGAAATCCCAGCCAGCTCACCAGCTGTTAGGAATTGTGGGAGTTGAAGTCCAGAAATCCCAGCCACCCGGGGGCCGAAGTTTGCCCATGCCTGGGTTAAACCCTTGCGATAACAGGACTGCTGACTGGTATATGAGAGAAGCCTCAAGCACGGTGGTAAAACATCCAGGCATTCCCTGGGCAATGTTCTTGCAGATGGCCAATTCCCTCACATCAGAAGCGACTTGCAGTTACTCAAGTCATTCCTGACACACACACAAAAAATACGTATATTAGTTTTATATGTATATGTATGGTATACTGGAAAAGGCAGGAGTCTACAGCCTTCACTCCACTGTGAAGTTGAGTGCAAGGATTAAGCATGCAGGACCCCCGCAAAAGTGGAAAAACATTTTTTTTCACCTAAGAGGACATGTCTATAGAAATGGCAAGGCTATCCAAGGCAGAAGTGGACTGTAGAACTGCCCTGGAGAACCTAGAGATGAGTAGAGAGATCCTATTAAATCAAATCTGCAAATAATCAAATCCAGGAAAGTTCAACCCACAAATGTGGAGGGCTCACTGTAGTGTTGGAATCTGAATTCAGTCTGCAGCAATTAAAGCCAGGAGAACTGAAAAAGGTGGATGGAAAAGAGAGACTAGAACATTTTTAGCATTACCGAAGAAGTCAGCCAGCAGATTTAATTGGGACTGTCCCTGCCAACTCAGAACAATTGCAGAGTATACACTTAACATATACTGCAAACACTTCATTATTAAAATGGACTGCAACTGACAGTACTTGGAGAACAAGCAGTACTTGGAGAACAAATACAAATTCAGAAGGGAAGAATTCGCATGATGGGATTGTGAAGTGATGGAATGGTACATCGAAAGGATTTTCTAACCTCTGGGTATGTTGCGTGGTGGCAGTGGTGGACCTGCAGAGGGAGAAACTGGAGAGGACTTAGAGACGTGTGGTACGGCATATAAGTCATGGTATTTGTCCTGAGAAGCTGGACTGGCTCCCTTTGAAAAGTTTGCTGGATTTTTCCATGACTGAGATGCTGCTCCAGGTAAATTGTAACAGCTTTGAGGACGATGAAAGTGATCCTTTTTCACAGGGCTGAGCTGAAATGAAGACAATGTTAATGAAAGCTGGAATATTTGGTTAACAAGCTTACTAAAAAAAACTACCTATAGAAGAAAATGACATTGCTGGATCAGATCGATGCACCAGCTAATTCAGTATTCTGTTCAGAGCCTGAAAGTAACTTATTATAATGGTACCTGCAATTATTATGTACTTGAGGGTTGTAATATGAAGGCATAGAGTGTGATTTGGGCTGGAACCCCTTGAAACCACAGTTAGAATCCCTGCTCTGGTACAGAAACCCACGGGTCACATTCTCTCAGCCTCAGAGGAAAGCAATGACAAACCACTTTTGCATAAATCTTGACAAGAAAATGCTGTTACAGGGTCACCTTAAGGTTGCGGTAAGTCAGAAATGATTCAAAGGCATACAAGTAATACTTGGATAATACAAAAGGAGTTCAATTAGGATATGGCTTACATTGGAAAGCACTATACTATACAGCTGATAGCATATTGATAGTAGAACTGATACTTAGCTACACTCCTATATATTGCATGTTTTACCTCCCTGTTGAGTAAACTGAGTGCAAACAATTTTTGCTACTTGAACTCACTTTGCATCAATGGAATTAAGCTGAAGAGAAAGTGAGAAGAAAATAGAAAACTGGAATATTTTAAAACCAGTTGGAAAAGGGGAAAATGGATGATTGATTCGTACTTTTCCTGCCAAATCAGGACAATTGGTGGGTATACAATCCTATATATGTGTACTGAGAAGTAAACACCTTTGAATTCAATTGGATCAACTGCATTGTACTCCCCTATCACTTTAGCAAAAAAAGAGAAGTTTAAATTTTCTTCCATCACCTGAATGGCATCAGGAAACCTGCTGAGATTCCCAAGTCCTTGCTCATGCATCAGATATAGACATGGAAAGTAAACGCAGTGAAGGTTCTTAGATCCTTGTAGAGTTTTGCAACAGAAAGCTAAGGGTCTCATGCACTGTAGGTAGCAACAACAGTAAACAATGTCCCCAAGGCCAGTCAGCTCCTAGTTCCTACAGATCACTCCAAAGCACTAACACTTTTGTACCTGCCCTTCATTTGTCTTTGCTGGGGAACACATTTTAATTTGTGCATTTGTATATGCCTTCAACTCACCTATTAACTTATGTGACCCCAATAATTTCAAAGGTTTCCTCAGGCAATGAATACACAGGAGTAATTTTGCTCATTCCTTCCTCTGAAATACATCTTACAGTGCTTGAGATTCCCTGGTGGTCTTCCAAGATCCAATAGGATCTGGTGTCTTTAGAGAGTATGTGGGTCATCCATATGTCAATATAAGGTTGGAAATGGGGCTGAAATACACTTTCAGTCCCATATAGATCGAACCTCATTAATCTAAAGCAGGCATGGGAAAACTTTAGCCCTCCAGGTGTTTTGGACTCTAACTCCCACAATTCCTAACAGCCTACTGGCTGTTAGGAATTGTGGGCTTTTAGGAATTGTGGGAGTTGAAGTCCAAAACACAAAGTAAAAGTTTGCCCGTGCCTGATCTAAAGCAAACTGCTTCCATACAACGCACAATCCTAAAATAGCCACAGCCTGGAAATATCCTAAAATTCAAATAGATAAGCCTTACATGTAAAGTTTCCATTAACAAGTCTGCACAGATGCAGTGATACTTTAGAGCAATGGTTCCCGACCTGTGGGTCTCCAGGTGTTTTGGCCTACAACTCCCAGAAATCTCAGCCAGTTTACCAGCTGTTAGGATTTCTGGTAGCTCAAGGCCAAAACATCTGGGGACCTACAGGTTGAGAACCACTGTTTTAGAGACTGGCACAGACAAAGGGCTTTGTGGTGTCTTCTGAGTGAAAGTTCTGCAAGTGGATTCTGTGACACAATCGTCTCTGGTCAGACTCGTTAGACAACTTAAGCATTTAAAATCAGGCATTGTTCAGTCCATAATACTTATTAGCAATAAAAAAACCAAAATAAGATGGGCCAAACTAATCTGCTACAGAAAACCACAAAAATGTTATCGAACACAATTCCCAGTTAAAAACCACTCTAATAAAACCGCAAATGTTCTACAGCAGTGCTGATGGTCCATGAACCTGTGCCAGTTTATGAGCCATCGGCTGCTAATCCTTGGTAAGTTTCCAGAAAAGAATTATAAAAAACAATTATTGTCAATGGACGCAAACATGGTGATCATATCTGAAACACTGGGGAGAAAATAATAGTAGTTCTTCCACATCCAGTAGCTGAGGGAGCAGTGGAATACAGCAATTAGGCTTTCTTTTCACAAGCCATGATCATAGTCATGTAATATTTAGTGCATCACATTTCTTCAGGCTGAAATCCATTTCACTTTGTTGACGCTCTCAATCTGTTAATGTACTAAGACTAGAACCTGGAACAATGTATTTAAACTACAGGAAACGAGACACCTAAAACATTAGGAAGAATTTCCTGATGGGAAGAGCTGTGGCCTCGCAGTGATGAAGTTCCTGCCCCAGGAGGGTTTTTTTTAAGCCAAAGACTAGTTGGGCATCTGTCAGGAGGGCTTTGATTATTGATTCCTGCATGGCAGAATGGGGTTGGACTGGATGACTCTTGTGGTCTGTTTGATTCTATAATTCTGACAAGATTACCATTTGGTAACTATCCGAGCAAATAAACATACAATTGCAATATAAAACCTATACTGTACTGTTGGGCTTGGCCTCATGTAAGCCGCTCTGAGTCCCTTGGGGAGGTGGCAGCGGGGTATAAATAAAGTTATTATTATTATTATTATTATTATTATTATTATTATTATTATTATTATTAAACCTACCATAGCATATGCCCAATTTCAAGGGATCAACAATCTGTTGGAAAGTCTTTGCTAATTCTATTAAGTATAGCTAAGAACTGGAACATTGTGAGCAAACTCTAACCTTTGCAACAAAAGATCAAAATAAGTGGGATCTTACCTTCTCGTCCAGGTCATCATCACTTTCAAACATGTCCTCTTGGCCAAGTCGCCAGTCATATTCCACATGCGCCCGCATATTGAAGTGATCATTTTGAGCCAGCTAGAATACAGAAAACATCCAGCCTTTGTCTAAGATTTGTATGGCAAGTTCCAAACCAAGGAGTGGTAGTGTAATAACTGTTTTCTTTCTGTACTCAGGACTTCCAGTGAGGAAACAGGAAGAACCAAAAGACAATGAGAAGAGATCTCTGGAGCTATAAGGCCAGCACCATAAATAGCAGATTGATGGCAAAAGTAGTGCTCGTTATATTCAAGGTCAATCATTAAATATTTATGAATTTAAAGTGTTTCCTATAGGCCTGGCCCAAGGCAGGCTACCTAACATGATGGAGCTAAACAAATGTACAACAAAAAATTGCGCTCTCATGTACCTCATAAATTGGGTTTCAATATCCAGTGCATGCAGTTCAGTTTTTGTCATTTCCATAATTATATAAATTTGTGTCTTATTGTTTGAGGTCTTGCAATGCAGAAACCATGCAATGTCTCAACATTTAAAATAAACTTTTAAATTTTCCAAGGCTTCTCCTTGTTTCTTGGGAGAAGTAGGATATGATGTCAGTTTTTATCAGAGCTATCTAACAACATAACAGTACATTAAAACCGTAGTCTAGGTTGACTGCAGCAGTAGTGGTCACACTCTGGGGAACATTTACAGAATATTGTTTAAAGTGTCACATAAATTTGAAAATCTGGTTTCATAAGGAACAGTATAAAATGAATTTATACCAAGGGCCAAAATAATTTTCCAGTAATCAGAATCTCTAAAAAGGCAACTGCAGACATACTCCAGGTAACAATGTATCCACAAACAAGTTCCTTTTTGCAAAGTCTTCTCATGCCCACCCCCCAATCCTTCTTTTTTCTGTATCTAGCTGGGAGGTGTTTTTTGTTTTTGTTTTTTAAGCAGAGTTGGCATCATGAGACAGCTGAAGGAGGGCTGGAGAAGTACACACCTTTGGTGTTTGGTTGCAGCAAGCTTCCTACAGTAAACCATAGAATAAAGGTTGATCTAATCCTATTGTTGCCACATGTGCCTGCCTACAAAAGGCAAGGGAAACAGCTGCTGCTTCCAGCTCTTACTGAACATGATTGAACAACAAAACAGAGAAAGAGGGAGGGCAGATAATGTGCTCCAGTAGTGATCTGCAACATGTTGAAAAAGCTGATTTATGCCACTGCTTCAAGATCAGAAAGCGGAGGTGTGTATCCTGCTTCTTACCAGATCCTCACACACAGCATGATTCATTCGCCTAGCAACATCGAGGGCTGTCTCTCCGTCTTCATTGGCTATGGGGGAAATGAGAGATGTCACCATAAGATTAATGATGATGTAAACTGTTAGCAACTTTGACTTCAACGTTATAGTCCATTTTGATTTATTCTCATTATGAGACTTCAAGTTAACTCCATCTTATGATGACCCTATTACAGTATAGTGTTTTCCTGGAAACCTGTAGTCAGAGGTGATTTACCATTGCCTTCCTCTATGACTGAAAAAGTGTGAAGTGGCCAAAGTTGCCCAGAGCTTTCCGTGGCAGAGTGCGAATTCAAATTCTGGTCTCCTAAATCCTACCTAATCTAGCACTCAGACCAAAACATCTTGCCAACTATCCAATTTTGATTATATGGTAAACTTTTCAAGGTTCGGTTTAGATCCAGGTGAAGAACAAAGATGTTTTGGGAGGTAATCACAGCCATGGAAACCCACTGGGTGGCCTTGGGCAAGTCACACTCTCTCAGCCTAAAGAGAATGACAATGACAAATATATTGTGGTAACACAAGTGGGTAAAATGCAGAAAATGGCTGTGCTTGGTGATGTTATGATAATTCTCAGTTCACTGCAAAAAGGAGTTGAACCTTACCACACCACCAGCTGCACCACGTTCATATGCTCTCTCTTCTTCCTCCACAAGAAGAGGCAGGAAGATTTCCCTTCTAATTTTAATTAAACACTTTGTAATTTGAATACAACATATTTGATTAAACTTATGTGCCAGGAGGTGATTTCTTCTTTCTCAGAAGTTCACCATAAATCTTCTCCGTGACATCTCAAGGTCAGCAGAGGTACTGGTGAAAAGGCCGGAGCACAGAGCAGTTGGATGGACTAACTTTTTCCCATGGTAAAATAGTTATAAGGGAATAGGGCGGAATACTGAGGATAGTAGGAAAAGAAGAAGTTTTGGTGAAAATGCCATTGGCGACTTTTTCTTGGACTGCGGAAATCTGAGTAATAAAGCCAATTCCAAAGAGAACTTTGTGAGTGGTCTAAGTTGCTGGCTAGATTCTGCAGGGAGTGACATGTATGTTTAGCTGGAAACAAATAAACTTTGAACTGTGGGCTATAGAAACAGCTTGTTTCAAACAAATCTTAGCTGAGATTATACACTGTTCAGATATAATTCAGTTAATTGAAAATCAAACCATTGTCTCCTTGCAACTTCTCCAGAGAGGGAGGAAGTAACATAGAAAAAGAAGGGAAGGACATTTCAGTCTCAATAGGCCACAATTTAAATGCAAAAGGTGACAATGATTTCTTTTTAAACTCAGTGTCTACAATTCTACTACTTAATGTGTGTTGTATGACATTCTGGATAGTATTTTGTACCTTTGAACAAGTGGACCACAGTTCATGAAGGCCAATACTACAATGTTACCTCTCTTTTTCTGCTCGGTTACTCCTTTGGACACAGCTCACTGTGATATCTCATTGTACCATGAGCACAATAAAATTAAATATTTATTATTTATTTATTTACTTCACTTGTATATCTATTTTCTCATCCCAGCAGGGGACTAAAAGCAGTTTCCAACATGATTATGGCAAACTTTAATGACTCACATACAGAAACCTAACATAATGATAATAACATACAATTATCAATTAAATCATAAAACACGACACAATTTAACATTAAAAATGGAATTAAAAACATATCAATATAAACATTAAAGTCACACAATCCAACAATTGTCCAGGCCGTTCCAAATATCATATCTATTGCACATAATCCCTGATGGAGTACCTGCATTGGAACCATTTAGAATCACAAAAGTATAGAATCATAGAGTTGAAGGGACCCCATGGGCCATCAAGTCCAACCCTCTGCCATTTACAACTATTAAATGTTGTAAATGTCACCATAAAGCAGTATAGTCTTTAACCACAATAGTATTTTTGAACTTACCACAGCTAAGTAAAAAGAAAGAAAGCTACAGAAATAGAAACTGCTACTGAAGTATGGGGCAGGGGCAGAGAATCAAAAGAAAATTATCAAAAGTTACACAAGGTACAGTTGTGATATAATGTAAAGTTAAGAGATAACAATTTAAGTAATCAGGTATTTCCTCTCTTATCTCAAACCACTAATGTTTGTATGGTTACTACTTACTGATTCCAATGTTGGCTTTGGCACGCAGGTGGAGCTTAATGCATTCAGGTTTATTGTGGAGGCTGCAGTAATGAAGTGGGGTATTTCCTTTGGATGTTTGTTTCACCAGGCTATCACTAGATGAGAGAAAAATATTGGCTATGAAGACACCTATTTTAGGCAGCCTTCATTTCTATAGGTCAGTCATGGACAAGATGTGAGTAGCCAACTGTTTAAGTACAATAGTAGTTAACCAAAACCATTTAACACCATCTGGAAGGCCACACATTGCCAACTCCTATCCAATAAATTAGCTGATACTACATTGATATTATGGTGCTCCATGCAGTCATGCTGGCCACATGACTTTGGAGGTGTCTATGGACAACACCGGCTCTTCAGCTCAGAAATGGAGTTGAGCACCAACCCCCAGAGTCGGACTCAACTAGACTTAATGTCAGGGGAAAACCTTTACCTACCTTTACAACCAACATGGTTAATTGCACCATTGTTCACAACCACATTCACATTAAGATTCACCATAAATGTAAATGTGTCACAACATACAGTGCCTTTTAGATAACCAATTTATATTCCTCAGAGTAGTGATCCAAATAATCCATATAATTGCTAGTTTTGCTTTACTTTTAGAAGAAAGATAAACTTGGGCCTTGTTGTTATTGCCACACCTTGTACTACAACAGCTGTATCATTGCTCTTTTCTTCAACTTCTAATTTTCCTGTTAGATGGAGGAGGTATAGCTACCAGACTTAATGACTTCATAATTTTCATTGCACACACACTCCCACTGTTTCTTCAACTATCCAGGTGCTATATTTCTGTGCCTAAGGAATCAATCTTCTCTCCATGAAAAATATGGAACATCGGGGGATTTTTTCTTAAGAAAAGCATAACAGTGATACTGCCACAGTGTTAAGGACTTTGTCACACCAGTCTGTTGTCATTTAAGCAGACAGAAACAGATGGTTAATGGAGCAATCACTTTCACACCAGTCTTCCACACAGCCTTGATTTCTTTGGCCATGTTTGCCCTACTCAGTGCTGGTGTAATCTTTTTCTTTTCGTATTACTTTGCCACAGCTGTGTAGTAGTGCAAGTATGGCATGCTCATGAAACCCTCCTACATGTCGTAATATTGAGACAGCAGAAGAAAAAAATTATAGCACAACAAAGCAGTAAAACAATGGCAATAGTGGATACACTGATGGATTTTTCCATTAGTGAAAACATACGCTCCAATCACAATTCAAGTGCAATGCAACTACAAGAGAGACAGGATGTCAGGATGTAAACACCTTTATCCTATCATAATCTCACTGTATCCGCATCATTAAGAGTTTTAGGGACTAAGCTAGAGCATCAGGATAGCAGCATATTATATATATATGGAACGACTTTCAACCTGAACCAGAAGCAAGTACAAATATGCATATTCATCACTAAATGACTGACAATTTGTGTATGAATGAGCCAAAATAACAGACAAATACCAGACAAGCCAATCTGTTACTATTATTTCAACTCAGTAGACTGGACATAAGGTAAATTATGTAATATGGAAATTCATGGGGAGGGGGGGAATCTTATTCGTCCTCCTCTCCATAGGCATCTGAAAGCTTCAAAGTGTCCTCCTGTACAAAGTGGGACTGAGCACAATGTGCTGCTAAAGCAAGGGAGAAATGGAGAAAAAGGCTGCTCACCTCTCTAGTGACTTCTTGGAGGATGCAGATGACTTGAAGACCTTTTCCTGCATCTCATCAAGTAATATACATTGCATACACATGTGAACTATTCATAAGTGTTAGAATGCAGGGCAGGAATGCTACTTTATAGTTATTTGATAGTTCAATAGTTTGGAGAAACAGACTTAATGACATTCTGCCGTGGGGGGTGCATTTTTGTATATGAAACAAAATGGCAAACTATCATATCATAGTAAGATTTAAGATTTTCTGAATTCCCACTGAAGTTTTTTCCCTCCAGGTTACACAGAAGGCTTTTCTTCCCCCAAGGAAATGTAAGGAGTATGCTGAACTTCTACCCTTTCTGTGTCAGATAAAGAAAGTTTCAAAGCAGTCTAGAACCCAACGTTTGCCCACCAGTTTCAGCCACACAAATAAATAAAATGCAGCCCCATTAAATCCATAAAATAGGCATGTGGGAGTCAACTTACCTGTTCTGTACCAGAAAATCTACAATATGCAAAGAGGTTCGGTCACATCTTAAAACCGCCAAATGAAGAAGTGTCTCCCCAGATTCCTTTAAACAAGAAACAAACATACTCAGTGGCTATTGACAAATATTGATGTTTCCTTGCAAATCAGTGTAGACACAGAATTATTGCCTTTTGGATGAGGATTCATCCCAGTGCCCAATAGCAAACATTCCAGTGGACAAGTTACTGCATATATTCATGTATAAGTCAAAGTCATGTACAAGTTGAGAGAGGGTTTTGGATCCAAAATTATGGATTTTGCTGTGACCCATGCAGAAGTCAGGGGTCATTCCATAAAAAAGAAAAGCACCAATGCTGCCTCAGGGGACCGGTTACCCCTCACTACCGCTGCATTTCCCCACCCAGGCATTCAGAAAAGCCAGAAGAAGAGACATGGACAGAAGAGAATAGGTGGTCAGTGCTTCTTTTAGGGTCTCCTGGAAAGGACTAAGTGCTTGCATTTTGCCACTCTACTCAGAAAAGGGGCCATAGTGGTGCAACAGATTTGACCACTGAGCTGCTGAACTGGCTGACCGAAAGAGCAGGTTCGAATCTGGGCAGTGGCATGAGCTCCCACTGTTAGCCCCAGCTTCTGCCAACCTAGCAGTTTGAAAACATGCAAATGTCAGTAGATCAATAGATACCATTTTGGTGGGAAGGTAATGGCGCTCCATGCAGTCATGAGGTCTGTGAAGATCCCTTACCTTGCCAGCCAGGGTGGCAGGGCCCAGGAAGAGACAGGCTAGGTAGTTTCAGCTTAGAAGGCCTGGCAGAGAGCTGCAGGAGCCATCTTAGTTTAGGGAAGCTCCAGTTCAGAGAGGGGGAGTGGCCGAGGCCTGAGCCAGCCCAGCAACAGCCAGGATTGGTTTGGAAAAGGGGGGCGGAGTTAGACAGTTGGAGGGAAAAGAGAGAAGCTTATTTTGGCAGTTCAGTTCAGTTCTGGGTGATGTTAGAGTAGGATTAGGGCTTTAGGAGTCTCTGTTAGGAATAGGCAGCTTGCCTGTAGTTTGTACAGCAAAGTAGGCTGTGGCAGACTAGTTACAGCTATTTTAGAAAAGAAAATAGCTGGGTTTTGTTTAGGAATTGTAACAAAGAATAGAACCATTCTCTCAAGCAACCGTTACGCTTCTAAGAACCAAGAACACTTTAATTGTAACAGCCAAGCCTCTACAACTGCATTTGCTTTATTCTGTAACTTGTATTCAATAAACTCTTTCTTGTTATTTTTAAAAACCTAAGCCTGAGTCATGTGCCATTTGTAGGTTCAGTCCCTTTTCTTTTTGAACCAACCTCTCCTGTTTCCCCTCAAAGAAGCCCTTGGTAATATACAGTACTTGGTGGTCCTAGAAAAGCCTTTTAACATTCTAAATAGCCAGAGGGTTCCTGATTCTTCAGTTTATGGTGGCAGCGAAGGTTTTAATAAAGAGACATCCCCTCAAACGCTATAAGGCCAAAGTGGTGTGAATTCCTTATTAAAGGAGGGACAGTGTTGGGATCTGTTTGCCCCCTGTCCAGTCATATTGTTTCGCCATAAAGACTGCCTTTATGATTAGGGGTAGATGGTGGGATTGATCGCATTGCCATCTGCCTGGTTAAAGACTGCCTTTATGATTAGGGGTAGATGGTGGGATTGATCGCATTGCCATCTGCCTGGTTATTATAATTGGTGGGACAGTGGTGGGGTTTGTTTGACCCCCTGCCCAAAGAGCATAAAGGAGTTATTATAATTTGGTGGCAGCGGTGGGATTCTTTTACCCCCCCCCCTCTGCCCAATCGGACATCGAGCGTATCTTTATAATTGGTGGCAGCGGTGGGATTCTTTTACCCCCCTGCCCAATCGGACATTGAGCGTATCTTTATAATTTGGTGGCAGCGGTGGGATTGTTTGAACCCCCTGCCCAGACGGCCATTAGTGGAGTTATTATAATTTGGTGGCAGCGGTGGGATCTCCTTGACCCCCTGCCCAGACGGCCATTCGAGCGTATATCTTTATAACGTCCACATGACCTAGGAAGTGTCTATGAACAATACAGGTTCTTCGACTTAGAAACTGAAATGAGCACCATCCCCTGAGCTGGAGATGAAAGGGGAAGCCTTTAGCTTTATCATTGTTTCTAGGCACTGAATATTTGCCTTTGTGTCTGCATATGCTGGAATCTGCCCTTAATCCTCTCAGGGAGATAGGGCAGAATACAAATAAATTATTATCATTATCATTATTCATTCTTGGATAAGAATTAAGGCACGGTACTCACATTGACTCATGGATAATTTGACCTAGTTTTTTGTGTTTTTGGACTGAAATTTCTAGACTTATATATGAGTATGTAGGCCCTTTTGCAGGTCCTTACTATTATTTCTTATCATCCATGCCTTGCAGGAACTCTGGGCTAAAACTATAAGCAAGAGGTAACTGCATTATTCTTTTCTCTTCATTAGCACAGTTATGAGTAGCGGATGGCTGCTTAACCCTGACAATCGCTTGTCCATTCAAAATCATTCCTTCAAATGGTGTTCTTTCCTTTCCACTGCAGAAGAATGGATTGAGGATCTCCAACTGTAAGCAAACCTCTCTACCCAACTCTGGATTTAGAGGCTTGTGCTGTGAATTTAAAAATACCTATCCACTGGAAAGTATTACATAATTTACACATGAAGTATAATTTGGCCCATGGTACAAATCCCATTACTTAGAATTTATTATAAATGCAGGGGGGAAAGGATGCTCAAATATATGTGCCTTCGCTACCAAAAAGAGACAACTTAATCACTGGGTTTATGTGGCATGAAATTCAGTGCAAAGAAGGAATTACTGTTCCTCGCCACACAAGCTAACAGACTTGCAATAACTGTCAAACACAATTGCAACTTAGTGTTAATTATTCTCCCTAGCAGGTTTCCTTGAAGCTGTTTCCTTCACTAGCATTGCATGTTTGCTTCTATAGCATTGCTGTGAATGCTGCTAAAGTGCATGCATGTCAGTTCCTGGAAGGAGGAAACCTCACCTGGCTGGACTCCAAAACGGGTTCACTTAAATCCATCTTTTCTGCATATGCCTGAAGCAAGACATATATATTTTTCTCCTCGACAGCTTCCTGTAGGTCCTTAAGCCTGGCAGCTGGGCTTCCTGTGATTCCCTGGGCAACATACTTTCTATCAACATACTTGGCTATGATGAAATCCTTTCGAAGAGTCCTGTAATTATATAAAACAACATAGGCATAAAAAATTGAGGTCCCATCTACACTGCCATATAATCCAGGTACTGTAGACTCATACGATGGATTTTGTAAGTCCACACTGACAATATAATGAAGTCTAAACTGACTTTTTTGTCAGTGTAGATGGGGTCTAAGCTTCAGATTGAAGAGGAGTCAGCAAGCAATATCTTATGAGGAATCGGCAAGCAATATCTTTTTCCCAAGGGATAACAGAATAACAGGTTTAAGTCAGAACAGAAAGTGTAATTTTCATGTCCCACTTGTCTTCTGGCTGCTTGCCTTTCTTTCCCACTGTATCTTCAGATGGAAGTGAGACAGACATTGGGAAGATTTTTGAGTTTGAAATGTAATATAATGTAAGATAAAGTTGCAGGAATAGAAATATGTCATCACCAAAAAAGAAATATTTAAAAAATCTGACTCACGATAAGTGTGTTTACACATATATACAAATACACAAATTGTCCCAATCGTGATTAAGAACGGTAAGATTCCTTACATGGGACTGTCAGTAGTAGGCTTTAGAGCTGCATTGTGAAGATTGGCTTCTACAATGTCATTAAATCGTGAATTCCCAATATTCTTAGCCAACTGCAAAAGAAAAGGAAAGAAAAAGTTAGTTCAGCAAAACATACATATATATCACCACTAAGCATGCACTTATCAGCATATCAAATTTTGCACAGGTCTTAAGACAAGGAAGTGCAAGATAGAGAAGAAGAAATTTTGAACCATGAAAACATTGGCATATTATCACTGCGTCATGTTATGATTCACTGAATTTGTTTTGCCCAAACAGAGGATGAGAAGAAAAGAAACCACAGGCATTGTTTGAAAGAGAGATAAGGTGAGGTAAATAAGATCTGGTAGAATGCAAAAAGACAGGGTGGTGGTTGTACAGAGGAAAACAAGAAAAATACAGAAATATGCAGAGAGGCGGGGTTTTTCAAATAGTCTGGGCCTGAACTGTTTAGGGCTTTATAGGTAACGACCAGCACTTTGTATTTAGCTTGGAAGCACTTTGTCCACGAATAATCAAATCTACAAAAGTCAAACCTGTACATATACTCAGTTGTATTTATTTATTTTATTTATTTACAGTATTTATATACCCACTTTATCACCCCTGGGGGGACTCAAAAGTGGTATATAAATACTGTAAATAAATAAATAAATAAATAATATATCCGAGTCTCTATATGTACAGGTTTTACTTTTGCAGATTTGATTATTCATGGACTTATACAAAGTGCTTCCAAGCTAAATACAAAGTGCTGGTCATTACCTATAAAGCCTTAAACAGTTCAGGCCCAGACTATTTGAAAAAAAAAAACACTCTCTGCATATAAACCAACATGAGCACTGTGATCTGCGAAGGCGGCCCTTCTCTCGGTCCCACCAATCTCAGATGCGTCTGGTGGGAACAAGAGAGGGGGCCTTCTTTGTGAACGCTCCCCACCTCTGGAACTCCCTCCTGAAAGAACTGAAAACTGCCCCCTCCCTCTTCTCATTTAAGAAGCTGTTAAAAACTTACTTGTGTACTCAAGCATACGGAGAGAAGGAGGATTAATACATTATTTGAATTTTGACTCAGCTCATGGAGACTTACCTTTGTTCAGATGGCCTACTGTTAGTATGACTCGTTTTAAATGTGTTCATTACTTTTGATCATTATTAGAGTCATTAAATAAATTATTTTACTTTGTATATTTAAATTTCTCACTTGTTATTATATTGTTTTATAAGTATATTCTGATGCTGTTTATTTGATTGTTTATTATTTGATGTGCTTTATTATGCTATGTTGCTCAGGTATTTAATGTTTGCCAATCTTTTTTTGTACACTGCCCCGAGTCCCTTTTGGGAGATAAGGTGATATAGAAATAAAAGTTTATTGTTATTAATTAGAATGTGTTCTCTAGGAATCCTTATGTCCTCAAGCGTGAGTCTGTGGTCAACTTTTTCCAGAGTTTCATCACAGAAATGTACTTGAAAATCTTGGGAGTATTAGAGAGATATTATCTCATATACAATATATATAAGGATGGGCTCAAAGCCAGCCTTGAAAATTCTGGCATAGACACTGAGAACTGGGAAGCCCTGGCCCTTGAGCGCTCTAGCTGGAGGTCAGCTGTGACCAGCAGTGCTGCAGAATTTGAAGAGGCACAAATGGAAGGTGAGAGAAACATGCCAAGAGGAAGGCATGTCAAGCCAACCCCGACTGAGACTGCCTTCCACCTGGAAACCAATGCCCTCACTGTGGGAGAAGATGCAGATCAAGAATAGGGCTCCACAGTCACCTATGGACCCACCAGAATACTGATCCTGGAAGACTATCCTACTCGGCCAACGAGGGTTCACCTAAGTATACAATATATATATTCATGATTTTTCAACTTCCACAAGGTTTTGAGCCCCGAACTCCAGTAAATGATGAGAGTCTACTGTATTGTACTTTAGCTGAAAGCTGAATCAATGGTACCAGGAAGAAGAATGTTGTAATAAGCTTTGAATGATAAACGGTAGAGTAGAAAGAAATCAGCTCCCTACCAGAAGCTCGGAGGTTGCCAGCTTGTCCAAAGCTAGTGACTGGATGCGAGAGTGGTGAACACCCATTTCTCTGTGAATCCCAGAGCATTCAATGCAGATGAGGATTCCCAAATTAATGGAGAGCCAGGCTGGATCTGTAGAGCAAGGGAATTCAATGATATAGTCAGGATAAGTGACATGGTAAGTCATTTCTACAGGTTTGCTTCATTAAATGTTATTTGGTGTCGGTGTTGTATACCTTTAAGTCATTTCTGATTTACAGAGACCTAAGATGAATCTATCAAAGATGAATTCCCAGCAAGATTGTTCAGAGGGGCTTTGTCTTTGCCTTTCTCTTTAGGTTGAGAAAGTGTGACTTGCACAAGGTCATCAAGGAGTTTTCCATGAATGAACAGGGAATCAAACTCTGGCCTTCAAGAGATCTACTCTACTTATAATTGCACTTTATCAGACTTGTGTGATAAAGCCTTGAGAGAAAAATGGATTACTTTATATATGAAAGCAAAATCACACTACCGGTTTTTATCTCACCACAATTTCCTGTCTAACCTTCTGCAGCTCATCTCCTTTCCCTCTGATATCTTTCGCTACCTACCAATTATTTTTTCCTGTTGGATACGGTTTGAGTACTTTTCTTCCTGAGTTGAGAAAATTACAGCATCCCTTTTCATTTCAGTTTATTAATCTGCTAGTTGCAACATTTTCAGACTTACAGTAACAATATTTCATAGTTTTAATGACCTTAGGTTATACTATGATGTTGCCATCACAGTAAAACATTGCTGGATGCTCCATTTCTGTTCATTGAAGACACATTCATTTTTATTTATGGATATGGATTTCATTTTTTTATTACAGCAAGATGCAGCATAACCCACACATACTATTTTTAAAACTTAAAATAGATGGCAAGACTTGGGCTCTGCTCTATGTTGTACTGCTCTAAAATCTCCAGAATTAGCAGTAAGATCTAAGACTCATCAGATACCATAAACAACATCATGCATTTCAGATCCACTACTAAGATAAAGAAAAGCTCTAAGTTTTCTAGGCATGGTGCCCTCCAGATCTTTTGGACCAGACCTCCTACGACCCATGCCCAGTGGCCATGCCAACCAAGGCAATAGCTGAGAGGGGAAACAGGAACTAGCCAAGGTCTCTTTCCTGCACCTGATGCAGAGCAGTCACAACATGTGCTGTTTCCTGGCATGCGCTTGATCTCCTCGATGATGGCTCCAGTCAAATCCACCATGCTGCATCCTTCCCTATCTGGTGCTTGTTTGAATGCGACATTCAAGGCCTCTTCTTTACTATTGCTCAGGACAGAGACCCATCTGCAAAAGAGGAGGAAATTGTCACCATCATTTTCAGACTTGGTTCTTCTCAATCCAACTGAGGTGGTCTCTTTAAGGTAGACTGCATAGGCTTCTGCAAATGAACTCCCATTTGCATTAAGCAGAGATATGCAAGGCAAACAATCCAAGTATTAATGCTAGCTCCCTCTGTTGATATTAATATCTAAACCTGCTTATCTGCTCTTGAGGAGAGAACAGATTTCTAATTTCAAAACTATTGCGGTACAAAGTAGGGATGGGAAAATATCTCTCTCAATTTTATCAAAATCCCACTTGCATTTCTTTTGTGTCCTTAACAACAACAACAACAACAACAACACTTTATTTATATTCCACCCTTCTCACCTGAAGGGGAGTCAGGGTGGATCACAGTACACATACACGGCAAACATTCAATGCCATTTTTTGGATGGGACAAAGACAGACAGAACAAAAAGGAGGTATATATTGTGTTTTGTTGACATTCACTTGAACATCCAGCTTGTCGGTGCCTTTGGAAGTTGCCAGCCACAGGGGGCACTGTCGCTCCATTCTCTATGACAAAGAGCCATCAGGACTTCCTTCTTCCTTTTTCTTTATGGTGTCATAAAATACCTCCCCTGCATTAGTGGTACCTATTTTTTTCTAATCATAGCTGTGAGCTGTTTTCGAACAGCTTAGGTAAATAGTGAGCAGGAATGACAGTCGGGTGCTCACACTGATCTGGGACTTCGAACTTGCAACCTTGTGGTTGGTAGATCTTATCATTGCTGGTGATTTACCTGCTGTGCTAAAGCCCCAGTCCTTGTTTTTTATTGTTATGCGAGATCTGGATGTTTCATCCCACACTGAAATCTGCACAAAAATTGTAGCATTTTTTCCTAAATTGCACATTTATTTGCACTATTTACCTAACTGATGCAACAGCAGGAGAAATGAAAATGCACAAAAACCCATTATCAGTTAGAATGGCCAGTTCAAAGCCCCAGGTCTGAGTAAGCTCCCAACTATCAGCTCAGCTTACTGTTACCTAAGCAGTTTGAAAACAGCTTGGGCTGTAAGTAGAGAAATAAGGTACCGCTAAAACAAGCAGGGGAGGTATTTTACGAAAGCATAAAGAAAAGATCAGAAAATGCCTGGCAACCAAAAGGAAGGAGGAAGTCCTGGTGGCTCTTTGTCATAAAGGATGGAATAACAGCACTCCCATGTGGCTGGATTCAAGCACAACCTTAAAGGTGCCAAAAAGCTGAACATCAACACAACATACCTGCTTTCTGTTTTGTTCTGTTCTGTCTCTGTCCTGTCTATCCAAAACAGCATGATCCGCCCTGAATCCCCTTGGGGAGATAGGGCGGACGATAAAGTGTTGTAATTATTATTATTATTATTATTATTATTATTATTATTATTATTATTATTAGAAATAACATTAGGCCATCTAAATGGCTTAGGCAACTATAAAGGTCTTTCTTCATCAGGTGTCAAAAGAGACAGCAAAGTTGCTTTGTCTTTGGGGAAAGAGTTAAAATATCTAATTCCCTAAGCGGTTGTATCTTTGTTTCTGGGCAAAAATGTATCATTTTCTATAGACATCTGCCTCCAGAGTAACTCTGTTCCTCCACCCAGGTACTTACATGCTACATTCCTGCTCATCCTCTGCCAAGAAGTGGTATGTTCGGTTATCTAGGATCAAAGCATACACAACCCAAGATAAGTCATATTTGAAGTATTAGCAGAACACAAATAACACAAGCCAACAAGTATTTTTCATCAGATATGATTTAGGTCATTCTTATAAAGAGTTTTTTTTTTTGCACTGAATTCAGATCTATGTTTATTTTTTCTCTATCACATGTAGTTTTTGCAATTAGGCTACTTGAATAATTATTACATTTACACACTGATAGCAATAGAATCTGATTGATATCAGTGCATAAATGCATTAATTATTTGATTAGCCACATCACAAAACTACACGTCCTAGAGAAAAAATAAACACAGATCTGAATTCAGCGCAAAAAAACCTCTATAAGAATGACAGATAATCATATCTGATGAAAAGTACTTGTTGTCTCATGATTAATTATATTCTATTGATATCAGTGTGTAAATGCATTAATTATTTGATTAGCCTCATTGCAAAAACTACATGTACTAGAGAAAAAAGAAACACAGATCTGAACTGGCTTGTGTTACACAAATATGATGTGAAATGTGCAGACTTTACTGTAGTCCACTGTAATGTACAATTTATCATATTTTAAAAAGTTGACGTGATGGCAAAAAAGACATATTTAAAATCAGCATAAAATTTTATTTAAACTGTGCTACTCTCATTTCTGATGATTACAAAAAAATGATTTTGTTGGCTCGTGTAATGGTTTAGGAACAAATGTTTCCAAATACTGTAATACGTCAACAAGTTATTGCCATTCACTGAATGAAAATAAACCAGTAACTGGACTGGCTACCATTGGACCTCTTAGGGAGATTAGGATCACAGTCCCTCACCAAATGGAAATTAATGTTCATCGTTTGCATGATCTTCTTCCTCAACTTGCTCACCAAACAGTACAGTTATCTCAATTCATCCTCATAGCAACCAATGATTTTACTGAAAGATAAGCTGACTATCAAAAGTTATCCACCAAAGGATGGCATTCAAAGTCAACAAGAGAAGCAACAGCTAGGCTTAAGACCCACTCTCTGCACATTCAAAAACATTGCATCAATACATAAGTCTTTCATTTTTACCTTTCTCCCAAGCAATACAACGTTTTCAAGGAAATGAGAAATTACATGAAAACAGAAACAAGGACCTACGTGAAATAAGATCAAAGCATTTCTTGTCATCCATGTTTGGTTTCACTTGGCAAGTGAGCAAATTCAGTTTGACTGGTGTACGATGCAGCTAGAGATGTATAAAAAAGAGAGAAAGAAAGAGGAAGGTAATTCAATCAGTTAGCCAAACTGGAGGCAGAGGAGAGTTTTACTCTACCCCAGCAAATAGAAAGAAAGGCCTCTGAAGTTGCTTATCAGAGGATTACTTCAATACTCTATAGCAGGAGTTTGCAAAAATTTTCAGCTGCGGAGTCCTTTTTGAAACAAAAGTTTCTTGTAGAACCCCAAGAAATTATTTATTATATTGTATAGAATGGACAGATACATCAGGCATAGGCAAGCTTTTTGACACACTGTGTCTTAAAATTTGACAGACAGGTGGGTCAGTGGCAGATGGATCAAGGGTGTTTGGGTGAACTAATTGGGAAAAAACATAAACAAATTCCTATGCACACTGAACATATCTCATTTGTATGTTTGAAGGAAAGAACAATAAAATATTTAAAATAAAGAAGCATTTTAACCACATACACCCCAGAGGCCACCCAGTCCAACCCCCTTCTGCAGTGGTTCTCAACTTGTTGGTCCCCAGATGTTTTGGCCTTCAACTCCAAGAAATCCTAACAGCTGGTAAACTGGCTGGGATTTCTGGGAATTGAAGCCCAAAAAATATAAATTACAGTCTTGTTCATACTGTATTTGAGGCAAGCATGACTGGATATATGTGGCCCTCAGTGCTTAAGCGGCTGAGGGGGAAAAGAAAAGGGCCCGAGGCTGTTAGGAATGATGGGAGTTGGAGTCCAAAACACCCGGAGGGGCCAAGCTTGCTTGTGACTGTACCAGACACACACATATAGTGTTTTGCTGCCAGTGACAAGAACTTCCAGTATGTTTCTTGATATCTGCATGAAGACATTGATTGAACCTATTTTTAGGAAATAAAAGGGCTATCTGAAAGGAGGAATACTATAATTTAAATGGGATTCTTTCATGGGAAGCCCATTTTTTGCTTAAGGTTTGTTTTTGGAGTTCTATAGGGCAGCGGTTCTCAAAGTGTGCTCCATGGGGCTCTGCAAAGCATACTGAGAGGCTCCGTGCTCACCTTCTCCTCCCCCCTTCAAGCTTTTCTTCCTCTTTCCTACTTCTTTCCCTCTCCCTGCCTCCCTTGCTGCCAAAAGGCTTTCCCCCCACCTTCCTCACCATCCAGATCCTTTCTCCCCCACCTTCGTTGCTTCCAAAACCCTATTTCCCTCCCACTGCTTGGGGGTGCTTTGAAAGTGCTTTTCCTGCTTGGCAGAAGGGAGTTGAACTGGATGGCCCCTGGGGTTTCTGCTGCTGCTGCTGCTATTACTACGACAAAGGCTGGGTAGCCATCTGTTGAGAGTGCTTTGATTGTGCTTTTTCTGCATGGCAGCAAGGCAATGGTTCTCAACCTGTGGGTTCCCAGGTTTCTCAAACCTCTTTCTGAACTAATCCATTTAGCTCCTGCACTACTTGAACTCCATTCTGACCACTGCTGATCCCAATGCTGATCAATAATGTGCAAAAAGAAATCATTGGCTTTGATTGGAAATGGTAGATTTTCATGTTAAGGAACACTTCTTTTTAAAAGTATTTACTGTTTGGTTTTTGCAGAATGCTTGGTAACTTGAGGAAGGTGATTTCTGTAGGCACCTAAATAATCACTCAAACTAATACATAAGGCTTTTTCAAGGAATCTTCTCCAATCTGTCTTCACTAACTGTGTTTTGCAATAAGCAAGGTGCATACCGTACTGTGTGAGATGGTCAAATATCCATTTCGGACTGTGCACTTTCTCTTCTGCCAGACTTTCCTTAAACTGAAATGTAAAAATGAACATACTGTTTCATGTAAAGTTTTAGATATGCTGGTTCCTTCAAGATGATGTGATATCAGTCTGCTAACAATGGAGGGATAGAACTATGCCAGCATTATATAATGGTAACACAATTTTTGTTCCTGGGTTATAAATGTCATTTCGTAACCAGTTCTATCATTAACATATGGGAAACGTTTATTAAACAATAGTAATAGAGTAAAATAAATGTAATAATAAAAATGAAGTAAAATAATAAATGTAATAATAATAAATACAGTAAAATAATAAATGTAATAAAATAATAATAGAGTAAAATAATGTGAATGTAATAATACTAATAATAAATAGAGTAAAATAATAAATGTAATAATAACAACAACAACAGAGTAAGATAATAAATAACTTTCATTCGAGTATAACATTGACTTGACTTTAAAAAGGGCTGAAAAACCCGGCTTATATCTAATATATACGGCTTATCCTGCCTTTCTCCCAATATGGAGAAAGTACAATGTAAGTTAAAATAAAACAGGTAAAACACTATGTGGTACAAAAGTTTAAAAACCATGAAACTTTCAAACTAACTATAACATTAATTTAGAAACAATTAAAATACATGTTGCATTTTTTGGAGGAAAAAAACCCAAACACACCCTTCTACCCCAACTTGCTAAAGGCTGGGTGTCTGATTCAATAAAAAGGTCTTTGCCTACTGAAATATTTGATCATCTTGGTTAAGCTCTTAAGTGTTGTTGGCTGAAGTAGACGCACTTACCCATCACTTTTCTTAAAAAGGTTTCCAGATCTCTCTGTTCCATATCGCTTATTTCCCTGCAACTGGTGCATGCTGTACCTCACTGGTTTACAAATAGAATTCTGTTGGGAAACCAAATCATCGTTGTCACAGTCAGCACTTAATAGACTAATTGGCAGCAAACTTATTCAAGGACAATTCCAATTAACAGCCAATTCATAAAACAAAATAAAATAAAAGATCTAAGCCAGGAATGGGCAAATTTGGGCCCTCTAGGTGTTTTGGATTTCAACTCCCACAATTCCTAACAGTCTCAGGCCCTTTCTTTTCCCCCCTCAGCCACTTAAGGAGGCATCAACTCCCTTGATTCTCTTGGCACTCCTTTGGTTTGGTGGTTGTCACTCATAAATAGGAGCCCCCAGTGGCGCAGTGGGTTAAACCCCTTGTGCCAGCAGGACTGAAGACCGACAGGTCACAGGTTCGAATCCGGGGAGAGGTGGATGAGCTCCCTCTATCAACTCTAGCTCCTCCTGTGGGGACATGAGAGAAGCCTCCCACAAGGATGATAAAAACATCAAATCATCCAGGCGTCCCCTGGGCAACATCCTTGCAGACGGCCAATTCTCTCACAACAGGAGCGACTTGCAGTTTATCAAGTCGTTCCTGTCACAACAAAAAAAAACCTCATAAATAGTGCTAGTGGTTACTACATGTTAATTAATTTTCAAAGAATGATCACTGAAAAATCATAAAAAAAGACTGGGCAACTTGGAAGGGGCTGAACGGGATGCACTCTGGCAACACAAGATGCAGAGTTAACCTTAAGAAATGGGCTACAAAGTGGAGTCCACAACATGTGAATGTGGAGAAGATCAAACCACAGACCACCACCTCAATGCAGTCTGAGCCCTGCCACATGCACAATGGAGGACCTTCTTACAGTGACCCCAGAGGCACTCAAATTATACCATTTGGTATAATGCCAAGTTTTTTTCTTTGTTTGTGGTTTTTCCATACATTATAACTGTATTCTCAATTTGCTTCTGACATGATAAATAAATACTTCCACATAGCCATATAACCCAGAATATCAGGGCAGATAACCCACAATATCCACTTTGAACTGGGTTATCTGAGTCCACACTGCCATATAATCTAGTTCAATGTAGATGTTATACAGCTGTGTGGAAAGGGCCCAATAAAAGCCCTAAAACAACTCATATGACTGCTGTGTTTGCGTCAATTGGTAACTTGGCCTTCTTCTTTTAGTTGGAAGTCTAAACTGTATTTCTCAAAGCTCGGCTGAAGTTACTGTAATGTTAGAAATATGGAACTGAAGAAACATTACATAGGGCACAGAAGTCATATTGTGGGGCAATGCTATCTTTTGTCCTCTCTCTCTCCCTCCCTCTCCTGGGTTTCCCCTTCATGGCCTTTGGCAAAAACCAGTCTAAAATACTTCAATGGGTGCCTGCTGGTATTTCCATTGGGCTGCATCCTATCCTCTCGCTTGACCAAATCGGATGCATTGCCTCCTGCTTTTACCTCTTTGGGCTCCAACTGCAGTGCTGCCTTCAGCTGATCCCGGAGGGCGCACAGCTGCTTCTTCTCCTCGTCCTGCTTTGCTTTCATCTGAAAGGCATCACACCAAACCAAACATTCCACATTTCTGCCTGTGAAATCTCTCTCGTAAGCATTTCCATGCTGCTTTTACATTCTGCCCTTAACAGCTTCTGACAGCCACAGAAAGCATAATCAAATATTTATTATTTACACTAATTTAAACACAAGTTATAGAAGGTTATCATATTAATGTTATGTACACTGCAAAAAATATTCCTATATTGTAATGTTATATATTAGGTATGCTTAGGGGCATGGATAATGTGGTCTGGATGTAATGTTGGGTGAAGTTAATTTACTTCTGGAGAATGACTGGCAGAGAAAAGGGGAGTGGGAGTTGGAATGAAATATCTTCCGACATATGAAAACCACGACACAAGCAACATCAGAGTGTGATCAAGATGGCAAAAGATATTCATGAGGAAGAACACACAAGCTTTTGCCTGATCCTTCAGTCTTCATGGCTCAAAATAATTAACTAGTAATAATTTCAGCTGCTGCAAGAAGATCGCACAGACAGACTACAAGCAGAGGCATAACACTGTTGCTCAGATGATTCATTGGAACTTGTGCCACAAATACCATCTGCCTGCAACAAAGAACTGGTGGGATCACAAGCCTGAAAAAGTTACAGAATATGAACACGTCAAACTACTCTGGGATTTCCAAATTCAGACTGATAGAGTTTTGGAGCACAATGCTCCTGACCTCAGGATCATGTTAAAAAAGGAAGTATGGATTGTCGATGTTGCAATCCCAGGTGACAGCAGGATTGAAGAAAAATAACTGGAAATGCTGACACAATATGACTTTTTAAAGACTGAACTGCAAAGACTCTGGCACAAGCCAGTAAAGGTGGTTGCAGTGGTGATCGGCACACTGAGTGCAGTGCTTAAAGACAATGGCCTGCACTTAAACACAATTGGCACTGCCAAAATTACCATCTGCCAGCTTCAGAAGGCCACCCTACTGGGATCTGCACGCATTATTCACCGATACATCACACAGTCCTAGACATTTGGGAAGTGTCCGACGTGTGATCCAATACAACAGCCAGCAGCGTGATCTTGTCTGCTGGGGACTCATCTTGTTGTTTTTCAAATAATAATAACAAAAACTTTATTTTTATACCCCGCCTCCATCTCCCTGAAAGGATTCGGGGCAGCTTACATGGGGCCTAAGCCCAAATAACAGAGTTAAAAATAGCACATTAGAGTGCATAACAACAATTTAAAACAACATTATACAAAACAGAAAACAAGCACCAAAACCAACAGCAATAACATAATTCAAGCCTCGGTATGGGTGGGCGGCCAGGTGCACAACAGTTCGGAGGATAGGGCCAATGAGTAAAGTGCATAGGGTGTATAGCAGCATTAAGGATAAGAGCAATCTAAAAGAGGTCAACTCTAATTTTGGATAAAACGGTAGTAAAGTGCAGAGTCAAATTTTTGGGTCCTGACTAGGGACAATTGTCAAGGGAAATGTTTAATCAAATGCACAACGGGACATCCATGAGGATAGGGTGGGGGCTAGTCTGATCTCTCATGTGGATTAGGGAGGGGGCTAGTCTGAACTCCCTTAGAAGGGAATTCCAGAGCCGGGGACGAGAACCAAAAAGGTCCTCTCTCTTGTCCCCACCAACTGGGTCTGTGACAGAGGCAGAAGCGAGAGAAGGGTTATGCAGTCCATATCACATGAAAGGTTGATGTTAAAGGAGCTGTGTCTTGGAAGTGGACAGGGACTAAAAGTTTTCAAATCCTTTCTCTTTGCCATGCACCAGGATGAGGATGTGCATAATATGGCTCTGTCTTGCTTGTGCATGCTGCTCCATGCCATGCCATGGTTTAACACAAAGGTTGGGCAGCTGTGGAGGCTCCAAGAGCCAATTACTTGTAGCTTAAGCCTTCCAGGAGCAACACAGACTGACAAAAAAGGCCATCAACCCAAAGCAGATGCATCAAAATATTTACTTCAGAATATATTTTTAAAAAATCTTAAATGGCACAGTGGGGTCCCTGCAATTTATTTTAAAAGTTAATTATCATTCCAGGAGGCGTCTAAGAGAAGGGAGTCATCCTTCTTTGGCTGGAAAAAAGGTGACCTGGGGAATATAGAGAGCACAGGAGTGGTCAAAACCACTATGGAGAGCCACACGTGCCTCCAGGCAATTATTTGCCCAGCCTATGAATTTAATGACTCATACTTACACTTTGAAGCTCAGGAATAAGATTTTCAATAAACTGCTTGTGCTTCTCGGTTGCTTTTAAACAAGCCTGGAAAAAACTGGTAGAAAAAAAGAAGGTGAAACAAATATTGAAAATATTTTCACCTTAGATCTGGGATGGCAAAAAAATAAAATACAAAGCAGGGAAAACGTAAAATATTACATTAACCACCATGCATTTTTAAAAAAAATCTAATTCAAACACCTTTAAATGGTGGGTTTTATCCCACAACAATTCTATGAGACTGATCAAATAAGAAGTCATGAGCAACCCACGGCCATCCTATGGGAATCTGTGGGAATTTGAACGGGGACAAAGATCTAATGGCACAAAACATGTCAGGCTTTTAGTACCATAGCTCTCTAAAACGAGGTCATTATAATGCTACAGAATGATGCTGGCAAAAGAATCTCAGAAGATTCTGAAGTACGAATCCCCAAAATATTTGTACAGATTAATATTAACAGAAATTCAATGCAGACTGAAGAAAGAATTGGCAATATATTAAAAAGAAGAAAAGATGTGCATTAGTCAGCAGTAGTCATTGATACTGAAATGTATGCTAGGTGCATAATGAAAAATAAATTAACACAATAAAGCAGGTCAAATGCATAATGAAAAATAATAAAGTAGGCATTCAGAAATGCATCCTTCAGTATACGTTAGCCTTTAATTGCTTTATTTACTGTGTTGTAGATAACACTGCAAGAAATAAAAATATAAGGAATGTATTGTACTTACTTGAACTGGGAGTTGCAGTGATTTATGTTGTTCTGCAGCAAGTCAACTCCCTTCTTAGTTTTAATTTCATTCACTTTAATTAGATACTGCAGGGAAAAGAAAAAAAATTCAGGCAACTTGCTCAGTTACATTTCTTTTTGTTGGCTTATCCTCTGCTCTTGACAGTTAAGGTAAGTTTGGCTATGATCAGATGTGTTTTAATAAAAAATACAAATCTCAGATTATGCCTTAAATTAGAATGGGGAAACATTATTGGTAGACTCTACCTTTCATTACTTTCGTAAGTAATCTATTATTAGGGCTGTAAATTAATTATAATTAATTAATCTATGACATGAGCTATAATATAAAGCAAATGTTCTTTGAAGATTTTGCAATACACAATAAAATAAGGTGAACCGAATTGCAAAATAAAAACCTCATCTAAAAGGAGAAATGCTCTTCTAGGAAAGTTCCTTATATCTGTTATGATTTGTGAACTGGAGCTCAGATGTACCTCAGAGTTGTTATTTTAAGCAACTCTCACCGGCTACCTAGTTCTTTAAATAGGAACTTTTATATATAGAACTTTCTTCCCAAACAGATATGAACTGCAAACATTGCATGTAGCTGGGTTGTTGTAGGTTTTTTCGGGCTGTACGGCCATGTTCTAGAGGCATTTTCTCATGCTGTTTCGCCTGCATCTATGGCAAGCATCCTCAGAGGTAGTGAGGTCTGTTGGAACTAGGAAATGGGTTTATATATCTGTGGAATGACCAGGGTGGGACAAAGAACTCTTGTCTGTTGGAGCTAGGTGTGAATGTTTCAACTGACCACCTTGATTAGTATTTGATGGCCTGGCAGTGCCTGGGGCAATCTTTTGTTGAGAGGTGATTAGATGTGCCTGATTGTTTACTCTCTGTTGTTTTGCTGTTGTAATTTTAGAGTTTTTCTAATACTGGTAGCCAGATTTTGTTCATTTTCATAGTTTCCTCCTTTCTGTTGAAATTGTCCACATGCTTGTGGATTTCAATGGCTTCTCTGTGTAGTCTGACATGGTAGTTGTTCAAGTGGTCCAGCATTTCTGTGTTCTCAAATAATATGCTGTGTCTAGGTTGGTTCATCAGGTGCCAGGCCATCAAATACTAATCAAGCACCAACCCCCAGAGTTGGATACGACTAGACTTAATGACAGGGGAAACCCTTGTGACCATTAAGTATCCATTTACTCAGGTCAAAATATGTTATATATCATATTGAAACCAGCATCTCCATCGCCATAGGGGTCACATCCGATATCCATGCAGTAACTAGCAGAACCATAAATGCACAAAATATAACATACTTAGTTTAACACCTGACTGATGCTGCAGCTAAAATTTGAAAAAAATTGGAGAACATGATAGTGGGAAGGTTTAGACCACTTGGCATGGAATAACCCAATGAGATACATAGGAAGAAGCCCTTAGTTGCCTGCCTGACCTCACACATCTGCAACTGGAACATCCGCCGTTCCTTTTCCATCTCCTCCGCAATCTCTCCTCCCGCAACCTCTGTCCGCACCATTCCATACTGTTTTGCCAGCTCCCGCTTTTCTTTCTCTATCTTTGCACTGAAATAGGAAATGGGAAAACATTTACTACAGTATTGGCTTTGTACACCAGCACTTCATGAGAAACAGCTAAAGAAAGGCAATGATCCATCAACACAATAGGAAAAAAGTATGGTCAGGTCAACTTACAGTTTGTTCTCATAGTCCTTCCAGGCTTTCTCAAAGGGCTTTTTAAAGTCCTATTAAGAAACCAAGCAAAACATTATAAATCTCATTTTGACTCTTTTCTATTTGGGTATTTGTAAGATTTCCTGCATTTCTTTTTCATTAAACAATTGTTCTGCTGCTGTGTCTGAGAAGAAATGCAACTTTTATATTTTTCATGTCTACTATTTTATGGATTTTATAATTCAGCTCTTTCTCCTTTATTCTTATATACTGGTATTTCCCATTTTAATATCAAAAAATCTGATTTTTCTGGGTTGTTGTAGGTTTTTTCGGGCTATATGGCCATGTTCTAGAGGCATTCTCTCCTGATGTTTTGCCTGAATCTATGGCAAGCATCCTCAGAGGTAGTGAGGTCTTATTTTCCTCTTTTTTACATTATTCCCATGGATGTCAAGACAGTTGTATTTCTAAGTAAACGGTAGGAAGAATCTTGTGGCAGAAGCTTAACAAATTATTTTGACATAAGCTTTTGTAGAGCAAAGCCCACATCATCATACATAAAATTGTTCTTACTGTTGTAAAAAACTCACACAGCTTCACTGATTGGAAAGGTTTATGAAAAATATTGAACAATTACACAGTTTTTACATTGTTATTCTTACTAACTTTATTTATAAAGGTAAAGGTTTCCCCTGACATTGTCTAGTCATGTCCGACTCTGGGGATGGTGCTCATTTCTAAGCCGAAGAGCTGGTGTTGTCGATAGACACATCTTAGGTCATGTGGCTGGCATAAATGCATGGAGCACCGTTAGCTTCCCGCAGGAGAGGTACCTATTGATCTACTCACATTTGCCTGTTTTCGAACTACTAGGTTGGCAGAAGCTGGGGCTAATAGTGGGAGCTCACCCCATCCTGTGGATTTGAAACACTGACCTTTTGGTCAGCAAGTTCAGCAGCTCAGCGGTTTAACCCACTGCACTACCACAGCACTGTAAATTTACTTATACCCTGCCTTTTTCTCAAGACTGGTACTCAAGGCAGCCTACAAATTCAAATTTATTTATTTATTTATTTATTTATTTACAGCATTTTTTCCCCGCTCTTCTTACCCCCACAGGGGGAACTCAGAGCGGAAGGAAGTGAAGGCATACAAAAAGTCAACGTTAATACAGAACTAAACTTTCATAGCAAAACAATTTAAAGCATCCCCTAAAAAGGATAAAAAATCAGTAATAACAACAAAGTTTAACTGCTTTTTGGCAAAATTCACTTCTCATACTAAGAGGACATCAGTGGCACGTCTCTGTATAAATCTTGTCAGCAAAACCCTAGGAAAGGGTTTCCCTAAATTGGAATTAAATTGATGGCATATCATTACAACTCATTGAGTGGATGCAATTCAGACATACATAAATAATTTCTCATACTCAATAATTCAAAACATACACATGCATTAAGAAGAAATGCAGAACTTCACAAATGAAATATTTTAAATATGTTAAAGCAGGTTAAGTTACAGAAAAGGAAAATAGTGGATACATTAGCCTTGTAATAACTAAAACCTTAACTTCTCCAAGTCTCAATTTGAGGTACCCCTCATCTGTTCCTTTTACTTTTCATACAGAAATCCCAGGGACTAAAATTGAAACCACTGGCATGAGAATTCTGTTTTGTGCTATGGCTCATCCTGCTAAATGTTGTGTAGAGAACAAGGCTGGTTTAAAAAAAAAGAACCAATATGCTATTAAGAACAGGAATGAGACTCACGGTGGTTTACAGAGTAGGAGTTTTTTGACAGTAGAAGTAAAACACAATTTTCAGTTTCACTTTAATCACAGAAGAGGAAAAAAAACAGTGAAGCATCTGCTCACCCCTTTGAAATCCCCTTTGATCAGTGAGTCCAGGGAAAAGTTAATGTTGTGATATAAGCTCAGCAACTAAAAACAAAATAAAGAATAAGTTCAGTATCTAACAAGCACCGGAGACCACTCCATATGATTGAGTGATCATCATTCCATCATACTTCCATGAACAGGAGAAAGTTCAACACATCCTTTTGAGATCACCCTATAAGAGATGACCCTTTCTTGAGATTTGGAAAGCTTGAGCTTTCGAGGACTGAACAAGATGCTATGAGCCATGGCACTATTCACAGCATGGAAATCATACATTTTGGATTATAATTCCCACAATTCCCTTAGAGTACAATTTCCATAATCCCCCGACGCACATCGACAGGAATAATCTGGCAGCTGTAGTCGTGTTAAGTCACTTTCTCAAGTTCTGCTCTTATTGTATGTCTATTATTGAAGTAATTTATAGGTGTAGATGAATGGGAAATGTTCATACCACGCTCCTGACAGCTTCTAGCAGCTCCTTTGAAAACAAAGCAAAGGTGACGTAAGCTTCAGCCAACTTCTCATCGTTGTTGTTTTGAAAATTTTCTGAATACCTTTCCTGGGCAGTGATATGAACTTCTAAGTGGCTAATGAGATCTGCAGGGGGAAATTGGGTTATTTGAATATTAATGCACATCTCTTTCTAGAACAAACAAAAATATGCACTAGAATAATATAACAATTAGACTAAACTGGGATGTTAAACTTCCAAAGCACATAAAATCCGTTGTAAACCCCATTGAGTTTAATGGAGGTATACAAGGGTTCAATTCTGAACAGATAATTAAAGAGGGATTCTCTCCAGTGCTGGCCTTCAGTTTTAAAGAGGATTGTTTTATTAATAAAGAATACTTTATTACGGCTTCCTCAACAGAAGCTGAATGACTAGCAAAATTATTGTCTTTGGCATCTGCAAAGGATATGTGTAAAAAAATAGAAGAAAATGTGCCAGAAAAATGCAAAAGTGAGTGAGTGAAACCAGAGCTTTGAAACGTTACTTTCAAAGCTACTGTTCCTGGAATCTATACTAGAATGAGGAATTCTAGGAGCTGTAGTTCAAAATATAGCTTTTTCCAGGGCTCTTTGATGGTTTTGCTATAATAATAATAATAATAATAATAATAATAATAATAACAAAACAAAACAAAAACTTTATTCTTATCCCCTGCCACCATCTCTCCAAAGGGACTCAGGGCGGCTTACAAATGGGACAAAATGTCCACAAGGCATAAAAGCAAAAACAATCCATAAAGCAAAACACATTAAAATAAGAGCATCATAAAATACAACAACCAAGATAAAACACACTAAACATAACAGAATAAAACAGATTGCATTGGAGCTCCATCAGAACAGGTTCAACAAAAACAGTTACCTAGATTTCTAAAATGGACATGACCAAGCTATAAAAGGGCTGGGCAAGGGATAGTGCAAATAGGATAGCATAGGGCTGGGGAAGTGGATGAAGTGCAAAACAGAGTACTAGTACCTGTCAACCTAGGGATTGGGTACATATAACTAGGGATTAATCATTCTTGAATATTTTCTGGAACATCCTGGTTTTCAAATCCCTGTGGGAGGACGACACAGTGGACGTGCTTGTGATGGTGGTGAAAGCGAGAGGAGGGCCTCCCCAGCAAATTTGCTAGTTCATAGGGGAAGAAGTGATCATGAAGATAGGCAGGCCCCAAGCCATTTAGGGCTTTGTAGGTCATAACCTGTACCTTGAATTGTGACCAGAAACTTATCGACCGCCAGTGGAGCTGCTTTAATAGAGGCGTCGTATGCTCCCTGTAATTAGCCCCAGTTAGAAGCCTGGCTGCCAACCTTTGCACCAGTTGTAGTTTCCGGGCCATCTTCAAAAGCAGCCCCATGTAGAGTGCATTGCAATAATCCAATCTGGATGTAACCAGGGTATGGACCATTGTAGCCAAATCATGCTTCTCGAGGTACAGTCGCAGCTGGTACACAATCCTTAACTGTGTGAAGGTCCTCCTGGCCACTGCCAACACCTGGGCATCAAGCATCAGGGCTGAGTCCAGTAGGACCCTCAGACTGTGGACCTGTGTCCTCACGGGGAGTGTAACTCCGTCAAGCACAGGTAGCCACCTTATACCCCAACTGGCCTCACAACTGACCAGGAGGACCTCTACCATGTCTGCATTAAGCTTCACCTTGTTATAACAGCCGTCATCCAGTCCATCAAGGCTCCCAGGCACTAGTCCAGGATCTGGGGGGCTTCCTTGGAGTTTGATGGAAAGAAGTAGTAGAGTTGGATGTCACCTGCGTACAGAAGACACCAAACTCCAAAACTCTGGATGACCTCACCCAGTGGTGAACATGTTTGGTCCCAAAAAGGCTTCTGTATCTTTTGATAAATGCACTGTGTGGCATTAACTGTTCTAACAGTGGTGTCAGCAGAAAGTCCAACTAGATCCCTGGATGATTTGCAGCATTTTAAAATGCTTCATATCTATTTGACAATTGTGCAAAGAAAATGCCTTCCTCCTCTTCTTTCCCCCAAATTGATGAAAGAGCAAGGCGACCAGGAAAGTGTTTCTTTGACAGAAAGAGGTCCATAATCTTCATTGTGTTCTATTATAATAACCAATTCCTGCTCTTGTGATTCTTTTATGTCTTTTATGGCAAGGTTCTGATCATTAAATGCTGAGGTTTCAGGTTCTTTTAAAAATGGCTGTACTATAAATCCTTTTCAAGATAAAAGAGAAGCTTGTGAGGCCTTCCAGATCTCTCAGCTCATCCGAGACACCTCCCCCTGTTATAACTAGTTATGCTCTAACCTTGTCCAGTTGTGTGTTCTGCTTTCACGGCTTTCCTCAATTTTTGCAGAACGATTCGATCCAAATCCAAGGCCTAAAAGTACGGAGGAAAGAGAAAAGTGAATTATGCATGCGTTATGCTTTCTTCTTCTCAAATAAAGAGAAAATATGTTAAAAATGTCCATAAACAGTTACACTATTTCCTGCGAAATACAAAACAGATTTCAAGTTACATTGATTGCACGGGCAAGAAATATTGCGATTTCCTTATTTTTTGAAAATAAATTATGGTGTGTGTGTGTGTGGGGGGGGGGGGGTTAATAATAAATATACCCTAAAGGCACCAAATCCTGTCTGATCTTGGAAGCTGAATAGAGTCGTTTCTGGTTAGTATTTGGGTGGAAGACACCCAATAAACACCATATGAGGTGCTGTAGGCGACATTTCAAAGGAAGGAACTGGCAAAACCATCTCTGAGCAGTTGGCACCTAAGAAAATTATTGAAATTATTGGGGTTGCCATAAGTTGACAGGTGACTTGGAGGCACATAAACAAATCATAGTGGCTTCCAATGCCATGTCTCAGTTTTCTCCCTTCCCCAGATGAACTGACAGCCCCTTGTCATGCCTTTTAAGTAATTATCCAAGTAGTAAGAAATCTGATCTTAGATCTCCTGTCACATGGGATATTTGGCTCTTAGAAAACATCTACTAAAGAGTTATTCTGTACTTCATTTTTAGGACAGCTTTGAGGAACAGTGGCTTGATAAATCTGTGATGGGGCACCCCACCCCAGCCATTCCACAGATATTTAAACCCATTGTCCTAATTCCAACAGACTTCACTACCTCTGAGGATGCTTGCCATAGATGCAGGCGAAACGTCAGGAGAAATGCCTCTAGAACATGGCCCTATAGCTCGAAAAAACCCACAAGAACCTATTCATTTATATGTTCCCACATATGAGTCATTTGAAGCATGGGAAAACTTTTTTGCCTTAGGGCTGCATTGCGGGCCCGGGAGGGGAGCCATTCACACGCAGGGCAGGACGGGCCCGTGAGGGGCAGGGGCTGGGAGAGGGTGGGGCCGGGAGAGGACAGGACAGGGTCTGGGTCATCTTCAGATTGTCCTCCCAGCGTAAGGACAGGGCTGCTTGTCCCATCCTGATGTTGTTGAACTCCAGTTCCCATCAACTGTGACCAGATGTAACGAATGGTGAAGTATAATAGAATTCATGAGGAGGAACTTGATGGTAAAAACCTGTTTGACAGTAGAATGAAATGCCTTGGAAGGTAGAAGATTCTCCTTCTTAGGTGGTCATCACTTGGAGTGCTTTAGTTGTAAACTGATGCATGCATTTCCCCCAATTGTCCCCATTTATCAGGGATAGACCTGATTAATTTCCTGTAATCCCACATTTTCAGTTGCTGTTCAAATGTCTCAATTACTCCCTTTTCCTCACATTGTTGCCTGCTGTTCTCAGCAGACTTAATTAGTACAGACAGAGTTCCACTGTGCAAAACTAGTTCTTACTCAGCTCAGTAGCAATGAAAGGAGGAGGGGGAAACCTTGTGCTTCCCAGTCAGCCCAAGCAAAAGCAAACTCCTGCAGTCCCTCCTAGTTGGTGTGTTTTTCCTCAACATTTGCCATCTTGACTCAGATATTACTGGATCACAGACATTCCAGTTTTCATCTATGAAATATTGAAGAGGGGTTTGAATGGATGGCCTTCTGAATCTCTTCCAACTTTGTGATTCTATGACTTGAGTAGTTCATTGGCATCTGAAAAGCCAGTGGTTCTCCCATCGCATGCTCCGGATAAATTAAAATGGGGATGAGGAAGAGAGGAGATACTCTCATAGTATGTCAATTCAAGGAGCAACATTCCATAGAAAATGGACAAAAAGCAGCCTTGAGGCCTCATGCAGCTGCCCAGGGCTGCTGACAGTCCAAAAAGGTGCCCTTTTCTTTGGTCATTAAAAGGGAAGTCTAGAAATATAAGAGAGCTAATGGTTGCAAAACTCATCTTGGAGCAACATACTGTTTCCACCACAGTCTTACAGAACTCATTAGCAAAACGAATCCCCAGAGAGAAGGGCGGTTTCCAGTGAGACCTCTCAGTTTTTCCTCCTTATCTTAACAGGGCTGAACAACAGCAAAGTGTGAGCAACAAAACAAATGTTGTTGGTTCCTGCAAACACTCCAAAGAAATTAAAATACAGCAATAGTTTCCATAATATTGCTGTTACTAATGTTGAGATCTGATCTGCATATTGCTTAGTGGTGGTATTAAAATCACATGGGTGATTATTTTCACCTACAATGGCTTCACTGCTGTTGTTTCAGCATCATTATTACTTGTCGTTCTAAATTGCTCTCAAGTTCCGGATATTGCTTTGGGTATTACAGCCTTTCACAATGACAGTTTGAATTCATGTAACATTTCCGTTTCCTGATGTGACAACCAGGCTAGAAACTATTAATATTTCTAAAAGGTTTCCTCTAACTAGTTATCATTTTATTTGTATAGTCTCTCCTAAGCAACTTTTGCTATGTTTCAGGGTGCGCTCATTGGTTTTGTGCAAAGCTTGATGAGGCATTCTGGCTGCCAGATAAATCCCCTCAGTGGACCTAATGTTTGGAAACCAGAACAAAAAAGAAAGGTATTGAGTGAATTTTGAAAGAGGAAATGAGAAGGGCAGAAGTAGGGAATATGTTACACCCCAAAGGATATCCCCTTAGTAGCAATGCAAAAATACTTCCAAACAAGACACACATCTTGAAAAAGTGCCATACACCAATGCATCTTAAAAACTGCTTTTCTTCACAACAATGCAATGAAACACCACAAAGAGAGCAGGGCCTCTCCTGCACCCCAGTCAGTGTCTTTGCAGAAAGAAACCACAATGATTGAATAAGATCTACTCCCAGAATTGTAAACATACTAACAAAGTCTGCTACTAAGGGAAAGGACTTAGATATGGAAGGAACTTTAATCATCACTGCCACATGTCAGGTGTAGGTCTTGTGCTATCTATCAGTGCAATTAGTTTGAACACGCAAAAAGGAAAGTGAATCTCCTGTGACTTTAATAGCTGTGAGAAGAGCAAGTTTCAGCAAGCGAAGCTTGGATGAACAATTCCACCTGGCTAACAATGTTATTCTTAAAGGGACAGGACCTCTATCCTCTTCTTCATGATGTTGCTCTATTCTTGAACTATGCCCTCCAAACACAGAGGGCAAGACCGTCACTGAAACCTTTAAGTCTTTGAGGTTAAATCTACTGATCCATCTATTATGGCCAATAACTTACTCATTAAATATTTTGCCAAATATTTTGCTAGTCTCTCAAATTTATTCCCTCAGTCACTCTGAAAGTCAATGCAAACAAAACTTAATGATCAGTGTTGATGTGTGATGGGAAGTTGCTGCCAACTGCAAGAGAAATAAGGTTGAACACTGTGAAAGCCACCCACTATACAGCTATCACTCTCCTCCCAGTAGACTTAAATCAAGGGAAATTTCATAAGAACCACCACTCCAGAAACAGCAAAAATATCCCTGTGGGCAGAAAAATCAGGAAATCCTAAATGGATCCCCACCCCACGGGGGTCTTCCTCCAGGGGCAAACCAAGAATAGGCAACTTGGAAGTCCCTGAACAGACTCAAAAACAGAGTTGGCAGATCAAACGAGGCAAAAGTATGATAGCTGGGACCCAATTCAGAGACAGCGCAGCAAATGAGAGATGCAGGTGCAACAGAGTCATGGCAAGATAGTTTGCCAGAAAGGGGGTCCAGGAAACAGCCTGCCCCCTCCCCCTCCCCCTCCCCCAGTCTGGCCTGCCTGGATAGCTTAAGGCTATCTGGATATCGTATGCAAGCACGTTCAAATACGCAATGTCTTTGCTTCTCTAATTCTGACCCATGTTGCGCAACCAGCATTGGGTCCCAGCTATCATACTATTGCCTCAAAAGACAACCTTACAACATGGCACTACCTAGAAGAATCCTCCACCTTGTGAGACTGTGGAGCAGAACAAACAACTCAGCATGTGTACGCTTGCCCACAATGCCCTGCCTCATGCACAAAGGAAGAATTGTTTAAAGCTACAGACAATGCAGTTGCTGTTGCCTGCTTTTGGTCTAAAACTATCTAGCAAGTTGTGATCCCTTCATTTTATAAGTTTTAGATAAACTATTTTATTAGTTTTAGATAAACTATTCTATACAATGTTTTTGACACTAAATAAATAAACAGTACTGCAACTGTTTTCAGTTTGTTCTTCTTGTGTGAATTTTCCAAGGCCTTCATTTCTGTAACTCATATAGATATTATGTAAGCTGCTTTGAGCTTCCTCTTTTGAAGGAAAAACAGAGTACTAATTATTAAATAACTTTTTTAAAGGACCCTTATTTCTCGGTTTGTTGCAAGGTGGAAATTCCTTGCTCTTCATTCCCATTCATGGAGCAAGTATAAGGCTCCACTGCAAATTCCCTTCCCAGGATCCCAAATCCCTCTTCCTTCAGCTTAAGTGAAACTGCTTACCTCCTCCAGGCTGGAAGCTGTGCTCCTGCATTTGCCCATGTGGCTGGTAAAGGAAGAGGTTGTGGGAGAGCTCAGATCCTCCTGGGTCTGGCAGATAAACTCTTGGACAGAGATTAAATCCGGCATGCTGCCAGCTGAAGTTTAGGCGCAGAAACAAAATGCCAGCCTAGTGAGTAAAGCTGCAGAGTCAGAATGTCAGGCCACAAAAAAGAGGAACAGGAATGGATTGAGAGGAAGCAGCTAAGGGTAGCCAGGGAGGCCTCAAACAGCTAAAAGGCTGAGCATTAGCCAACCTGGAACTGTCCTTTTCATATCTCTCCCTGAGAAACGCAAAGCCCTTTTCTCTTTCTCTGGCTTTCCTTTCAAAACACACACTTGTGAATGTTTTCCACCTCACAGAGAATGAGCTACTTCAATTCAGTCTACTTATTGATGGGAATGTATACCTTTTAACCCTCGTGTACTAAAATTAAAAGAACAACCCCCTTGTGTTGTGTGAGTTGTGGAGTATTTCCTGTTCCCAATGTATAGTACTCAAAGTGCCGAGGGTATGAAATAGTTCTGTTTAGGATTTAATTTATGTCTATTGCATTTAATTGTCTCTCCGTGTTACTTTAACTTCATTACATCCTCCTCTTCCTCCTCCATCCAACCCCAAAAGGCAGACTCCTGCAATTCAGATTCAACCAATGCAGGAGGTGGGTCAGGGTGGGAAGCAGCACATTAGTACTAAATCAGGGTTGTTTCTCACTAACTGAAGCAACAGGAGCAGGGCATTTCCAGGCAGAACTAACTCAAAATAACCTTGCAGAAAAGATAACCAGATACCCAAGTGCTGGAGCAAGGCGTGTGTGTATATATATATATCTTACTTAAGTTGGACGAGAAGGATAGTCTTCCATGATTACTATTCTTGTGGATCTGTAGGTGGCTGTGGAGCCCTATTCTTGACCTGCATCTTCTCCCACATATATATAATCTAGAAGAGCTCCCGGTGGCACAGTGGGTTAAACCCTTGGGCCGGCAGGACTACTGATCGAAAGGTCGCAGATTCAAATCCAGGGAGTGAGGTGAGCTCCCAATTGTCAGCTCCAGTTTCCCATGCAGGGACATGAGAGAAGCCTCCCACAGGATGGTAAAATAATTGGGCATCCTCTGGCAGCATCCTTGCGGAGGGCCAATTCTCTCACACCAGGGAGACTTGCAGTTTCTCAAGCTGCTCCTGACACAGAAAAAAAAAACATCTTGAAGAAAGCATTTATAAGTGATTGCAATACTCTCTTTTAAAGAGAACTGAAATTATAATATAATTTAGGTCTGAAGTTTTAAATACATTGCAAAATATATGCAATATTTAAACAGAATGTCTTCAGCAGGAGTCGAAACCTGTCATTGCTGTCATACTTTAAACCTCAGCAATATCTTCAGCCCTTGGTTTTCTTTGCATCAGGCCTGTTTCTTGTCTCTTCTCTGTTATTTTCTTCCAGCATTTATTGAATTTATTGCAGAAAGGCAGCTGAGCAGTGTGAGCATTTGTATAGCTAGCAATGCGGAATTGGCTACCTGATTGGACCATGAGCTTCAAAGGGATGCACTGTGTATATTTAATAGAGATTCTATGAGCTTATCTGTAAACTGTTTAAAGTTTCTTCGTCTCTGGAATGTAGCAGGGCTCATATCTTGTAAAATTATACACGGAGATTCATTATTTTTCATGTTATATGCTTTATGTAACTCTGTAAGAACTGCTTATTTTAGTGGGTACTTGACCAAAAAATACTTATTTCTGTCTGATTGATTGGATGTTTTGGTGATGTGAGGATTTTTCAAAATTATTTCTAGAAACATTTGAATGAAGAAGGTCCTTTAACCATTCAGTTATAAATCTGAGTGTATTTTCTTGTCCTCCTAATTCAGGGAGATTGCAAACCCTTCATCTGCACTTGGGAACCTCCAGGCCTTTCATCTTTACTTGAGTCTTTTTTGTGATTTGTGGATGGGTTATTGAAGGTCTTTTGATTCTACATCCCACCTTTCAAAGGCTTTATTTGATGTTTGCCAGGTATTGAAGACTTACTCATTGATTGCTGAATTCTGGTTTTTCACTCTCACCTGACAGCTAATTGATCTCTCTTTAAATCCTGCACTTTATTGAATTGCATAATGTATCTTTAGACATAGATGCTAATTGCTCAGCCAAGAGTGGCTTTTGCGAATTAACTGCTTTATTTTCGGGCAGGTTTTCTCAAACTGCAGCCTTCCAGCTATTTGAGCCTCCAATTCCCAGAAACCCTTGCCAGATTGTTCAACGGTCAGGAATGCTGGGAGTTGGAGGCCCAAACAGCTGGAGGGCCACAGTTTGAAGATACCTGATTTAGGGTCTAGGCTCCTGCATTTAGCAGCCATTGACATCCGGTAACATCACTTGCATACACTGATTACAATATCTCATATTGCATCTCTTCAATTAGCGATACCTGCAAAATAGAGCCTGGAAAACTACCTCAGAAAATAATGACTGTAATGATCTATTGAAGCCCTCCACAACCAAGCAGTTCTTTTTTTCTCTCAAATCCCAGGTTTTATTGTGATGTGATTCCTTATTCTATATTTTATTCTGCTTTCTTTAGAGTACTACTGTAAAAACAAAGAAAAAAATAAACCACAGGATTTCTCAAACCAGTCCAATAACCAAGGCAGACCTATGACTCCCTTAACACACACACATTTTTACTATTTTTCTTTGGATTTCCCAAAACTGCTTCTCCCAGGACAATGTGAAATTGGGCATGGATGCTTACTGGGCATTTTCAGTGGTCACTGCAACCCTGTGGAACACTCTCCCAAAAGAAATTAAAACAGCTCCCTCCCTTTCTTCTTTCAAGAACCAATTAAAAACTTTCCTGTTTAGGCATATCTTTAAAGTGAAGAAAACTAAGTTGGAGTGATAAGAAACACCATAATATTATGGACTGGAACAAAGTGCAATATAATGTGGCATAATGCCCCAAGAATGTGAATGTATATTATTGTTTTAAACTGCTTATTTTATGATATTTTATACTTATTATCAAGGAGACCCCGGTGGTGCAGTGGGTTAAAATGCTGAACTGCTAAACTTGTTGACCGAAAGGTCACAGGTTCGAATCCGGGGAGCGACGTGAGCTTCCAGTGTCAGCCCCAGCTTCTGCCAACCTAGCAGTTCAAAAACATGCAAATGTGAGTAGATCAATAGGTACCGCTCTAGCAGGAAGGTAATGGCACTCTATGCAGTCATGCCGGTCATACCTTGGAGGTATTTGCAGACAACACTGGCTCTTCAGCTTAGAAATGGAGATGAGCACCAACCCCCAGAGTCAGACATGACTGGACTTAAGGTCAGGGGAAAAGCTTTACTATACTTATTACCTATATATATGTATTGTTGTTTACATGATTTTAATATGTTGTAAGCTACTTTGAGTCCCATGAGGGAGAAAAACAGGATATAAATAAAAATGTATTATTTATTATAATTTATTTACAGGAGAGATCAGCAAGTAGGAGGAAAGAGTGTGTAAACACAACTCATTCTTACATATTAACTCCTGCCATTGGACCACATGCCATTTTTCTCCAACTGATATAGGCAAGGGTTAGGTTTTTCATTAGCCATTAATTCTCTTTTGCAAATTACTAACTAACCTTTAGCAGCCTTATTAGGGGACCATGGACCTAGTAAATCCATGATTGTTTTGTAACATATAAGGTAGGGCTGGACCTCCCAATAACCAGAATGAGGTCAGAGCTGCAGTGTCCAACGCTGGGACACAACAGTAGCTCTGTGACTATTCTCCTCAATGAGAGTACAGAGCTCCACATGACATGCACCCTATCTTTTGCTCTAAGCCAGTGGTTCTCAAGCTTCCTAATGCCTCAACCCCTTAATATAGCTCCTCATGTTGTGGTGACCCCTGACCATAACATTATTTTCATTACAACTTCATAGCTGTAATTTTGCTGCTGTTATGAATCTTAATGTAAATATGCAGCATGTATATTCACTGGACCAAATTTGGCACAAATACCTGGTGTTGGGTGAGGGGTTGATTGATTTTGTCATTTGGGAGTTGTAGTTGCTGGGCTTTATAGTTCATCTACAATCAAAGAGCACTCTGAACTCCACCAACGATGGAATTGAACCAAACTTGGCACACAGAACTCCAATGACCAAGAGAAAATACTGGAAGAGTTTGGTGGGCATTGACCTTGAGTTTTGGAGTTTTAGTTCACTTACATCCAGAGAACACTGTGGACTCAAACAATGATGGATCTGGACCAGGTTGAGTAATGCTGCTCTAAGCTAACTTGCTGCCCTGAGGTATGGTGCAGATGTGATTGCATTGCCAGGGATTAAATAAATTTCAACAGGCAAGCGTCTGTATATTCTCATTCAGCGAAACATGATGGACCAACACTGATCCATAGATGTGCTACTCAGAACAGACATTATCCCTGGCTTTCAGACAATACATCTGTAGGAATATCAGTACTTGCAAAGAACTTTCCGCCTGCAGAATGATCATGTTATTTATTTTAAAAGTACATGTTAGCATTGTTATTCAGTAAAAATAAATTCAAGTAGGTTTATTTTTTTTAGAAACAGCAATAATCAAGTTATGGCAGTATCTTTATTACACAATGGAACAAGGCAGAAGCAGCATTTCAGCTTTTGGTGCGTGTCAGCAGAAGCACAAACATTACAAATATCTGTTAAGGACATGCTCGGATTTTTTTTTAAGAACTGTGGGAATTGAAGTCCAAAACACCTAGAGGTCTCAAGTTTGCCCATGCCTGTTCTATATCCATTGGTGTTGATGCTTTACATACAATGTTAGCCATAAGAATCCGTGCAAGGTCAGCTTCTTATGATTGGTAAGACAGTCTTCAAGGCAAATCAGAAGTCTGATACTTATCAAATAATTATTTTTCAAAAATTTTGCCATCACATCACAGATGTGAGTAGGTGCAATCTGACAGGTGCTTGTTCAAAGTGCTCCAGGCACAATCCACCTGCCGCCTGAGTTCCTTAAATGTCTTTGGCACAGATGTCTCTGTTGTCATCTTTTGTCAAGTCCCAGCTTGAAGAATGGAGGAGATCAACTGGGAAAAGGGCTGCAAGTTTAGCCATTTATTATCTTCTCACTGATGTATCCAGGCATTGTGTAGAGAATGAGAACCAAGAATATGGTCACAATTGCAATGACTATCAAGGCAATGATGTACTTCTTGTACCGTTTCCAAATGAAAAAGATGAATGTTTTCATGGGGTTCACAAACCAGTTGAAAGACGTTTTGGGGCGGCTGAAGAAAGGAGAAGGGAAGAGAGAACTCAGTGAAGATTCAGACAGGGCAGCAAATGCAAAGCAGCACTTTTTTAGCCACCCACAAAATGAAAACTGACATGTACTAAACCCCCACAATCAAGATAAGGCCACCAACATCCTCTTGTAGTTGTTTCTCAACATCTGCCATTCAAACACAGGCTGTCTATGATCCTAGAAGTATTGTATATTAGGAACATATCTCCCTCTATGAACCACCTCAGAGGTTAAGATCATCTGGGGAGGCCCTGCTCTCAGTCCCACTTCCCGCACAGGTGCCACTGGTGGGGATGAGAGACAGGGCCATCTAAGTGGTAGCTCCTCAACTATGGAACTCCCTCCTCGATGAAATTAGATCAGCACCCTCCCACCTGGCCTTCAAGAAAAAAAAGTAAAAACTTGGCTATGGGACCAAGCCTTTGGGCAGTAAGCAATACAAGGAATGATCAGGGATTATGTGCAATTGATATTTGACATTTGGAATGGCCTTGGACCATGACTTCTGGATTATGTGATATTAACATTTCTATTAATATGTTTTTAATTCCATGTTTTAATTGTCTAAATGTTGTTACATTTTTATGATCGAATTGATAGTTATATGTGATGGTTGCTCTATGTTAGGTTTTATCTGTATGTGAGACATTAAATTTTGCCATAAATACATTGGAAACAGCTTTTAGTCTGTCCCCCCTGCCGGGTGAGAAAAGTGGTATAGAAGTGAAGTATATAAATAAATAAAATTTGAAAAGGGGTTGCAAAATAACTTGTTCTCAATGAGATAGGCTTTTTTTTTTCTCGTGTCAGGAGCGGCTTGAGAAACTGAAAGTTGCTTCTGGTGTGAGAGAATTGGCCATCAATTGTCAAAGACTTTCATGACCGGAATCACTGGGTTGTAGGTTTTTTCGGGCTAGATGGCCATGTTCTAGAGGCATTCTCTCCTGACATTTCGCCTGCATCTATGACAAGCATCCTCAGAGGTTGTGAGGATGCTTGCCATAGATGCAGGCGAAACGTCAGGAGAGAATGCCTCTAGAACATGGCCATATAGCCCGAAAAAACCTACAACCCAATTGGCCATCTGCAAGGACATTGCCCAGGGAATTCCAGGATGTGTTGATGTTTTACCATCCTTGTGGGAGGCTTCTCTCATGTCCCCGCATAGGGAGCTGGAGCTGACAGAGGGAGCTCATACACGCTCTCCCCAGATTCAAACCTCCGACCTGTCGGTCATCAATCCTGCCAAGACAATGGTTTAACCCATTCCGCCACCAGGGGCTCCATGACAGGCATGGCAAGATGTACGCATCTGGTGCTTCTAATTTAAACTAATTGTACTTTAGTTATAGGGTTTGTGTTGCCTATGAAACATATATAAAATTGCTCTCCCATAAAATCATCTTAATACTGACAGAAAATATCTCAGGCATGGAAAAAGATTTGGCAGCTTCATATTCTGAAAAGAGGGAAAGGTTTTTATAGGAGACTTCGTAATTTCTTCTGTTAGAATTTTTGTATGGATTAAAAAAATAACTATTATGCTAGAAGGAAGAATAGAAAAATATTTTACGAGGAAGGAAGGACATAACTTTACATGACTGTCTTCAACTCAAAGGATGGGAAGTCACTACAACGGGACGAGCAGGAGGAGGGAATGGCATAGTCAGAACAATTACTGTATAGGTGTTAGGCAACATTGCATTTGTGTGTGTGTGTGTGTATTGTTGTTGTTGTTCCTTTTCATAAATATGCAAATTTAAAAGAAAAAATATTTAAGTGGAGAATGGGACCCCTTCCACACAGCTGAATAATTATCTGCATTGAACTGGAATATATGGTAATGTGGACTCAGATAACCCAGTTCAAAGCCCAGTTCAAAGCAGATATTGTGGGATTTTCTACCATGATGTTCTGGGTTATATGACTGTGTTAAAGGGCCCTGAGACAAGCAAGGACTTTTGTCCCTACTAGCCATGACTGTTGGACGATCCTTCGTGAATTTGTTCAATCTAATATTCTATGCTTCTGCACAAATAGAAGCGAAAGATCCTTTGCACTAATTTGTGTTGCCAATTAAAAGAGTATGTTCCAATAAATTTACAGCACTAATGGCTAACCATTTTAAATACACATAAATGTGCTTACTTTGGTTTCTCCAAGGGTTCTGGCTCTTTTCGCCCCAGACCAACTGGGGCCTTCTCAGCCTCCTCCAAGGTTAGTAGCTGGAATTCAGCTTCCACTTTTCCCTGGAAAGAAATACATTGTGGTCAAATGCCTGGCATACGGGCAGCTAGCCAAAGAAAACTCCAGTTTCCCCTGTGCAAGAGAACTGACCTTTGACAAGCCAAAATCCTTCTCCTTTATAATATGTTCTAAGGAAAGAGCAAGTGAAAACGAACTAGCTCCAAAGTAAGGGGGGGCAACTCGGCAGTGACCAATATTTACCATACAATACATCCAATTCCAGAGACACCTCTTTATATCATGGATGGGCAATACCAAACACAGCAGAGGTAATTTTTTCCTCCCTGTATCTGCCTGGTTGGACTCAGCAGTGAGTTTCACCACACACACACACTGATGAAATAACACTTCCAGTTGCCATTTTGGCCATTTTTTTCTGTCTTTTCTGGTCTGTTTTGGGAAGGTGGGAAAGTCCAGAGAAGTAAAAAAAAATCAGTCTGATTTTATATATATGGATCCCCGGGTGGTGCAGTTGTTTAAACCGCTGAGCTGCTGAGCTTGTTGACCAAAAGGTTGTAGGTTCTAATCTGGGGAGCAGAGTGAGCTTCTACTGTCAGCCCCAGCACCCATACAGTCATGCCGGCCACATGACCTTGGAAGTGTCTATAGAGAATGCTGGTTCTTTGGCTTAGAAATGGAGATGAGCACCAACCCCCAGTTGGACACAATTAGACTTAATGTCAGGGGACATTAAGAGAGAGAGAGACAGACAGACAGACAGAGAGAGAGCTTTGAAAGGCTTCAGAGGGGTGTTCCAAGGGCGACATGTGGACCTTGGGCTATACTTTGCTTCCTTCTGTCATACATTTACTTACTGTGAGGATGAAGATGTTTCCACTAGGATCAGCAAACTCAACATCTTCTGGCTTGACTGAGTTCCTCCACTTCTTCTTTTTCTTCTTCTTTTTCTTCTGTTTTGCCTCCCTTTCTTCCCTTTCTATGTCTTCCTGACTTTTCAGCTTGATGAAGGGCCACCAGCCTCTCATCCGTTTGTTCCGGAAGATAGAAAAGCGAGGCATGGCCTTTTCCTTGGCCATCTTGATGGTGCACTGCTCCGAACTTTTGGCAGCTCTCACCATATCGTTCAGCTTTAACTCAATGGCACCTTGAAATGCAACAAAGAAGAGAGAACCTCAGACATAGAGAACTGCAGGTAATATCAGGATACTGTTCTGCAGATCTTTTAAAAATTAAGAAGAGTGTCCTGTTTTACATTTAACTCCTTTTGTTATTAAACCATTTCTGGACACATTTTTGTAGCTGGCATAATTTTATTTGTACATCCCTTTAAGCACTCATGAAGGGGAAAGACAATAAAATATTCTGGATAAATATACATGAACTCTTTGTCTCAGGCTGTTTGTAGCACTGATATAAGACATGAGCTGTCTGGGACCAGAAATTCATCTAATTCAACTGATCCCTGATTAAGACAGAAGCAGTGCAATTAGATGTAAAGAAACAATTTCTCAGGGGAAAATTTACAGCAGTCATGGGCAAGGAGCTGCAGTGGTGCAATGGGTTAAACCCTTGTGCCAGCTGGACTGCTGACTTGAGGGTTGGGTTGCTGACCTGAATGTCGCTTGTTCGAATCCACGAGACAGGGTGAGCTTCCATCTGTCAGCTCTAGCTTGCGGGGACATGAAAGAAGCCTCCCAACTGGATGGTAACACAACAGGGCATTCTCTGGGCAACGTCTCTGTAGACGGCCAATTCTCTCACACCAGAAACTATTTGCAGTATGTTCTCAAGTCGCTTCTGACACTATTTTAAAAAATGAGCGATAAGGAGAAATTATTCTCCTAAGCTAAAGTAGTGACACAAGGCCAAAAATTAAAATGCTGTAGTTTCATCATGCAACCTTTTAAGTATTTGTATTGTTTTTGGCCATACAGTTATGCTAGAATGTTGTATCTTAGTTGCTTCTCAAATCCAAAAGTATTGATGTAAAATTTATGTCCCCTGGGTTGCTTGTATGTTTATATCATGCAAGGTGATACAGTATGTAAAACTCTGTACCAGAGAGCTTTAGTGCCTGACCAAACTATAAATCCCAGCATTGCATATAACAAAAATATGGCATTTAATGTGGTATCTAAGTACCATAACTCTAATGTAAAAGATACTCAACATTGGACGGAAGGTTTGTACACTGACATATTTCATAAACCACTAGATGGTGCAACACATCAGTGTTCCTTTAGTACCGTCTGTGGTGCCAGTGAATGTAGACAGCAGCATATATTTAAATGTAATACAATGTCATGTAAACTGATGAGAACATTTGGGAACGTACATACCTTGAAGATATCTTGGAAATTAAGTGAGGTTAGCCCTGGTTAGTACTTGGATAGTCAACCAACAACCAATACCAAATACTATAGGCTATATTTCAGAGGAAGGAACTAGCAAAACTACATCAGATTATTCCTTGGGTAAGAAAACACAATGAAATCCACAAGGTCACCATAGATCAACAGGCAACTGGAAGGAACACACACACTAAGAAGCAGCAGTGGGAAAAGAAACATCTCTTTTACTATGCCTGTCAGACTTCAAACTAGTGACTTTAGCAGAGCTTACAAATATTACTTTATGGATTACATCTCAAAAAACCCCATACTAGTAGTGAACTTTTGGCAGTTATAGTACAGTTCTGGCACAGTTTACCTGTCCGAACGTATTTCCTGCTATGAACCACCTAGGACCTTAAGATCGTCGGGGGAGGCCCTGCTCTCGGTCCCCCCACCATCGCAATTGCGCTTGGTGGGGACAAGAGATGGGACCTTCTCCGTGGTGGCCCCGCAGCTATGGAATTGCCTCCCAAATGAGATCAGATCTGCTCCATCTCTCCTGACCTTCTGGAAAAAGTGAAATCCTTTGCGGACTATTTATTTATTTATTTATTTATTTATTTCACGTATTTCTACCCCACCCTTCTCAACCCCCAAGGGGGGATTCAGGGAGGCTTACAAAAAGGCACAATTTGATGCCAACACAAACAATAAGAGAAAAACATATATCAACAGCAATTATAAAACAATTAAAACCATCGATTATACATCACAATCAATAAGACCAATCTAATGCTCACGTTTGCCAACTCAGAATCCGTAAATTCATTCCACATTGTCAAATCCTATCAATTCTAGTAGTCGTTGTCCTTTGTCTATCTGCCAGATTACCCAAAGGCCTGGTCCCATATCCATGTTTTTAGTTTCCTTCTAAAAGAGAGGAGGGATGTCGATGACCTAATTTCCCTGGGAAATTGACTTGCTGGCAAAGTTACAGTTTTAATGGACTATGATAGACTGCTTTTAGGATGATGACTTAAATTGGTAAATTGTTTTAATGTTTTAAAATTGTTTTTATTATAATATGTATATTTATGCTTTTTCTTGTTGTGAGCACCATGCTATGCCGATTGTTAACTGCCCTGAGTCCCTCTGCACAGGTTGAGATATGATGGGATATAAATGCCCTAAATAAATAAATACCCAAAGGAAAAGACAACAAACTCTAAAAGTGAGAAAAATGGGGAGACTTTTGGAAAATGCACAAGGACAGGTTTTCCCTTTTTTCCCTTTCATTTTTATGTTATTTTTAATGTCTATCTTGGAAGGACTCATGAGACATAGCACTGTTTTTGAAATTACCTACATGCTTTCTAAAAATTACCTAAAAAGTCATTTGCCGAAATCCTGTCGTAGTCCCACACCTGAAGAACCAGGACTGCCGGCTCCCGGAACTCTGATTCCTCCAAAGAGAAGATGGAGTCCTTCTTTTTATAAGTGATCTCTTTCTCTGTTGGGAGATAGTCAAAGCGGAACACAAATCTCCAGTTGAAGTTGCCTTCCCCGGTCAAAGAGTTGAAATGAACATCCGTTTCTTGTTTGTCTTTCTCCAGCCCTTTAATCCAACTGTAGGAAAGAGTTAATTAGCTTCTGCCAATATTTTTTGTATAAGGATGTTTGGCTATATGGAACAACTTGAGAAACTGCAAGTCGCTTCTGGTGTGAGAGAATTGGCTGTCTGCAAGGACGCTGCTCAGAGGACGCCCAGATGTTTGATGTTTTACCATCCTTCTCTCATGTCCCTGTATGGGGAGCTGGATCTGACAGAGGGAGCTCAACCCACTCTACCAGATTCAAACCGTTGACCTTTCGGACCTGCTGGCATAAGGGTTTAACCCATTGCTCTACTGGGTGACTATATGGCTAAAGAAAGTAGAAATGCCAAAGAAGACAAAGACACAGAGAGAGAGGATCCACATGTAGCTTCCAGGGAAGCGTATCAGTCCCATTTCAGGTACACGCAACCTATTTCAAAACAGATATATCTTCATACTTATGACATGTATCTCCATATATAAATATGTATTGATGGAAGAAACTAAAGTAATATTTGTGTAAAACTTGTAACAAAAATCAATATAACACCCTTTGTTATGCATTTAAATTCAACTCCTGCTGAACTGAACAAGCCATACATAAAGGTAAAGGTTTTCCCCTGACATTAAGTTTAGTTGTGTCTGACTCTGAGAATTGGTGCTCATCTCAATTTCTAAGCTGAAGAGCCAGCTGTGTCCGTAGATACTTCCAAGGTCATGTGGCCGGCATGACCGCCGAAGAGGTACCTATTGATCTACTCACATGTGTATGTTTTTGAACTGCTAGGTTGGCAGAAGCTGGGGCTAACAGCAGGAGCTCACCCCGTTCCCCAGATTCGAACCACCAATCTTTTGGTCAGCAAGTTCAGCAGGTTAGCGGTTTAACTCACTGCACCACCAGGGGCTCCATAAAAAGGGAAAACCCAGGAAGCTGATTGAGAGTCAATGTCCAACTCGTGTTCAATACAAAAACTGTATATCTGTCATTTTAAAAAAGGAACTAAAGGATGGAGTTGAGATTAGAACTGTAACCACTTCTCTCTTCAAATCTTTAGATCATTCCCCCAAAAACCCTGTTGCTTGGCCTTGGATGGAAGCTGTCAGGGAGGAGAAATTGCAGGCAGAATGGCTAAATCCCGTTGCAAGATTTACAAAGCAGAAATAGTAAATAATACATTCAATATAATGTACAGACTGGCTGTGAAGTAAAACATTTTTAAGCCTTGATTTCTAAGGCTTTTGATAGATTGATATCAAACCTTTTAATAACATACATATAACCAATTAAGATCATTATGAAGAGTATCAGAGAGGATGATTGAATAAATTGATCATTCATGACACTATATAGCTATGAATGTTCAGTGTATGAGTAGCAGACAAAACATTGCTCCTGTACCCTATTTATCAGCTTCTTACAGCCATCTAAATTGTTATAAATAGCATGGAGCAGGTGGACTTTGATCATATACAGTAAGGAAATCCTCAATTCCTTATAAGTCAGGGTACACAGTTTGTCTTTTATTTCTAGCTATCTAAAATTTTCCACAGCTACGCACCTTTTTACATAGATGTCACTGGAGGTTTCTCCTGTTATTGGATTGACATCATCAAGAACCACGTCATCTGTGTTCCAGATGATAACACGTAGCTCGTAACTAGGGGGGAAATGTGGAAAACAATAACTGGTTAAAACACAGTTTCTTTCTTTGTAAATACTGAACATTAAGATTCCCACAAAACAAACCTAAGGCTTAGATTTTAAGCCCACAACACAAGTGTGCCAAATGGCTCATGTGGAAAGTATGGAAACCCTAGCCTTTTGGCAAAGGACTTTCTTGTGACATTTTTTTAAAAATCTGTAATTTTATTACATAGAACAGGGCTGAACAAAGTACAGCATAAGGGGCACAAATGGCCATCAGAACTACTTATATGGGCCAGAGGGCAAGGACAGCCAACAACATTATTTTATTCCAGAATGCCCCTCAATAGGTGTTGTGAAGAGCATTTCCAAATGTTTGGAAGTCACCACAGCCCTCCAGAACTCAAAACATTTTTAGAAATACAGTAAGACTCCCTCCTTTACAAGGAATATGTTCCTAATATATCTGTACTGCAAACAAAAATTCATATTGGTGGATTTACTGCATAAAGTTTCAGACCGAAATGGAATATATGCAGCTGCCTGTATTTCCAGTGTTTCCAAATTAGCAGTGGTAGGCAAAGTGAAAACTCATGGCCCATATGCTGTCCCCACTGCTGAGGAGTGTACGGGTAGGGAGAAAGTTACAATACTTGCATGAACTGTGTTGTGCAACTGGTGCTTCGGCAATAACACATTCACTCTTGGTTTTATGCCTACTCTTTCCATAGCTGCACACTGAAGGAGCTTTTCTGTTGGGATTGGCTCTAGCACTGAGAGAACTGGAGCCTACCCCCATTGGAAGTATCATTGAAAGTGCTGGAGCCTATCCCAGCGGAAGCATGATTGAGGGAACTGGAGCCTATCCCAACAGAAACATCACTGAAAAAGCTGGAGCCTAGCCCAATGGAAGCAACATTGAGAGAGCTGGAGCCTATCCCAACAGAAGCAGCATTGAGAGAGTTCAAACCTATCCCAACAGAAACAGCATTAAGAGAACTGGAGCCTACGCCCACTGGAAGCATCATTAAAAGTGCTGGAGCCTATCCCAACAGAAGCAGCATAGATAGAGCTGGAGCCTATCCTGATGGAAGCATCACTGAGGGAACTGGAGCTTATCCCAACACAAGCATCATTGAAAGTGCTGGAGCCTATCCCAGTGGAAGCAGCATTGAGAGAGATCAAGCCTATCTCAGTGGAAGCAGGATTAGGAGAGCTGGAGCTTATCCCAACGGAAGCAGCACTGAAAGTGCTGGAGCCTATCCCAATGGAAATAGTATTGAAAGTGCTGAGACCTATCCCAAATGAAAGTGGGATTGGGAGAGCTGAAGCCTATCCCAACAGAAGCAGCACTGAAAGCGCTGAAGCCTATCCCAACAGAAACAGCATTGAGAAAGCTAGAGCCTATCCCAACCTGGAGCAAGTGTGGAAGAAGCAGCTGTAAAACCGAAGGTGAAGGCACTGTCCTGCAACAGCAGATGTACTGAAGCCCTGCTCTTTGCAGGAACCCTTACCTGATTGGGAGCCGTGGTTTGATGTTGACCGGAGGTGGTGCAGGGACATCATTTGGAAACATGTCAATCCACATATGGAGAGAGCCCTGGGGAAAGGAACAGAAAAGGGTATCCTGAACTTTGCCAGAAGTAACAGGAGGGTTATACCAATGGCCACATAGGAAGAAAGAAAGAAAAATCCCAGCACTGTTTCTCTTGTTCAGATAAAAAAAACTGGGATCAAACTTGCAACCCACTTGAAAACACCCTGTCCTTAAAAAAAAAAAAAAAATCTCCCTTGCTCTGTATTTTTTTTTTTTTTACATTGGCGCTTGACAGCCATAATATGAAACTGGGGTAAAAGTAAAGTGTTGCCTAGGCAACACAGCACTCTCATTTGTAATAACAGGAGCATCAGGTCGCCATAAGGAACCATCAGCGCACATGGCTTCCCCTTTGATTTTATTCTATCTGCCCGACCACTAGGCAGGCAAGATGTGAGTTGCCCTAATCAGAAGAGATGGATCACAGTTCGACACAGGCATCCATACTGAAACTACAGCAGACTCAAAAGCACAAAGAAAAATGAGGATGGATATGTATATTAGAGATGATTGAGCACTCTGACAATTTTGCTCAGGAGTTGATTTCAATATTGTTTTGCTTTGTTTCCAGGGCTAGGATCCAATTCACCTGCTTCCCATTTTTCTCTCAGAATCAGTGATCTTGCTCTTTCTTGCACGATCCTCTATGCATCCTTTTCCAGCCCTTGGCAGAAGATTTTTAGGATTTTTAGGATCCATGGGGCAGGGCTAGACGCCAATTGTTGTGGAAGCAAAATAAAACAGCTCAGTAGCTTAGTTGGATCCTGTCCAGGTGTTTTGGAACTAGTAACCTCTGTCCAGCCCATGACCACATTCAATATCTACAACTTCTCAATAAGGTTCATAATATTTTAGGCTATTTATGCCAGGAGTGCTTGAACTATTTTACTACGTGTGTTCAAATTGTTAATTTTGAATTAAAAGTTGACTGATGCCCCTTTCTACACTGCCATATAATCCAGATTATCGAAGCAGATAATCCACATTATCTGCTTTGAACTGGCTTATATGGCAGTGTAGACTCATATACTCCCATTCAAAGTAGATGGATTGTCTGCTTTGATAGTCTGGATTTTATGGCAGTGTAGAAGGGGCCTAAGGTATATCTATACAACTTTTGATTGTGGGATAGATAGTTTCTTATCCTATGTAGATCTTGTCTCAAGAAAAGGCACAGTAATTAGTTTGGCTTGTATTGTAATACCGCAGTAGCACAGTGGTTAAAATCCCTAGCTGCAGGAGAGACAGCTGACCAGAGAGTCAACAGTTCAAAACTGCGAGTCAGGATGAGCTTTTGACTATCAGCCCTAGCTCAATGCCAACCTAGAAGTTCGAAAGCATGCAATACAAATAGATTAATAGGTTCCTCTTTGACAGGAAAGGTAAAAAAAAAAGAGGATGCCCCATGCAGGCGTGTCAGGAAAGATCGGAGAAAGTCTACAAACAGCATGCTTCATGGGCATGGAAAATAGAAGAACAGCAGCACCTCTTGAGGGCCAGAAGTTGAGCATCCCCTCCAGATGCCAGAAATGGAAAAAAGGGGGAAGACCTTTACCTTTTGTGTACTGTATGTCGTTGTTTGTGTTAAAAGGTATTGAATGTTTGCCTTATATGTACTGTAATCTTCTCTGAGTCCCTCCAGGGTGATAAAGCAGAATAGAAATAAAGTGCATTATTATTTAAAGTAGGTAAAGATTGTCCTCTGACATTAAGTCCAGTCATGTCTGACTCTGGGGTGTGGTGCTCATCTCCATTTCTAAGCCGAAGAGCTGGCGTTATCCACCTGCAAGGTCATGTGGCCGGCATGACTGCATGGAGCACCGTTACCTTCCTGCTGGAGTGGTACCTATTGATCTACTCACATTTGCATGTTTTCAAACTGCTAGGTTGGCAGAAGCTAGGGCTGACAGCAGAAGCTCACGCCGCTCCCCGGAATCGAACCTGCAACCTTTCAGTGAACAAGCTCAGCAGCTCAGTGCTTTAACCCACTGTGCCACCAGGGCCCCCGCATTATTATTACAACCCAACATAATCCTCACTTCATCAGGCCTCAGCAATGGATCCTGAGAAACTTGACCAGCAGGAATGCTACAAACTTCCCTGCACATTGGAGTATCTGTGATGTTTCTGCTTGTAACTGTGGTCAATAGTACACCATCAATCCATGCTGTTTGCATTTGTGCCAAATCTGCCCACTTGCCCAGCATCCCACACAAACTTTGCAGACAAGATTTCAAAGGAAAACACATGTTGATATAACAACTAGCTTTCACAATACAGAGGCGCTGTCCTAGAAATCCACCAGCATTCTTGCCTCACCTGTAGGAGACCAGGGCTGTCCGGACTGTAAAGGGATCGAACTTCCACATGTTCTGGTACTAATTTGTATCCATACTCTGGCATTTCTTCCCAATGTTGAAGAACATACAAAGCCTTGTGTTCATCATAAGCAGACCAGGATTCATCGTCCATTTCTTTCTTATCTTTTGCAAAGGCTTCTATAATGCAACACAGGCAGAAAAAGTCAACAGGAAGTCGACTAGACTGAATCTAGGACCCCCTCCACACAGCTAAATAAAATCCCACAATATCTGCTTTGAACTGGGATAGATGGCAGTGTGGACTCAGATAATCTAGTTCAAAGCAGATATTGTGAGTTATTCTGCCTTGATATTCTGGGTTATATAGCTGTGTAGAAGGGCCCTAAACATCAAAAACACTTCACTGATCTGTACTATTTAGAGAAGAAATATGGGTTGTTGTAGGTTTTTTGGGGCTATATGGCCATGTTCTAGACGCATTCTCTAGATAATGCCTCTAGAACATGGCCATATAGCCCGAAAAAACCTACAATAGCTTAGTGATTCCAGCCATGAAAGCCTTCGACAATACAGAAGTAATATGGTTGCCACTCAATGGATTGAATTCCAGATCTGGAAAGTTGCAAGAAGATAGGCTAGTTTCAGGCCTTGCCTTACTGAGGTCTGTCCCAAGCAGAAAGCCTTAAAATTCATGGTTTCAACCAAAATAAATGTGCAGCTAATGATACCAACTATGGGAGCGATTAGGCTGGTGTTCCTTAACCAGCAGCTTCCCCTACTGCATAGCAAATTTGGTTTGAAAGTGGAAAGAATTTCAAAAGCAACTTGATAATGTACACAAAAAGGCAGAGGGGGAAAAGAGATATAAAAATTCTTTAATATGACTATGGTAAAAGTTCATCTGTGCAGTGAGGCCAGACACTCCATAACCATGAAAGTAAGCAATGATTCAAACTACAGTGGGGGAAAAGATTCCTCCCAAACGTTAGGAAGAACTTCCTGATGGTAAGAGCTGTTTGACAATGGAATGTGCTGCCTTGGAGTGTGGAGGGTGCCCCTACTCTGGAGGTTTGTGAGCAGAATCTGGATGGCAATCTGCTGAGAGTGGTTTGGTTGTATGTTCTTACATGACAGGAGGTTGGAACAAATGGCCCTTGAACTCTCTGATTCTATGATTCTACCACTACAACTACCCACAAGAAGGGGTAGAGTTATCTGCCATTATACTGCAACTTGCAACTTGCAATCATAATGTCACTTAGCCTTAACTTTTTGCCACATCCCCCATCCCATCCACCCCTCAAAAATGTTTGTAAGTAACTCATTATTTATAACTGGTTACTCCCAAGCCCTGGATGGAAAAATGCAACCAGCAAAATAAATTGTTGAAAAAATGACATTCAAATACATGCCCCATTCTAGTAGTACCTTCAGGAAAAGCTTCAGGAGGGATCTTAAAAAGCTTGTTATTTACTTTGACTTCTTCCCGTCTGTACTCAGCAGAAGGAAGTGCATTCTTCTTGCACAAACTGTCCAAGATATGAGAGGGTTTGAAGGCATCTCGCCACATGTTGTAGCCTTCTCTGTAAGAAATTAACAATTTTAGACATGCTAGATTCTAGAGGACGTTTATTTATGTATTTATTTATTTATTGTGTCAGAAGCAAGTTGAGGGTACCGTTATAATGTATTTACAAACAAAAATATTCATATTTGTGATATGAAGTTAAGTTTCATCTCCATGATGGGATTCCTGTAGTGTACAGAACATCAGGAATAATTTCATACTGTAAGAACTGAATAAGATACTAATTTGTAACGGGTACAGAGTTAGTGCTGGCTACTTAATTTCACCAAAATAATCATTTTAAAATCCTAACCAAATGAGGAGGGAATCATATCCTTCAGTACGTACGTATCATATTGTGAGGCCAGCCCACAATTAGCTCTGTGGTTGCTGTAGAATCGGTTCTCCAAATCAATTTTTGTCTCCCCAATTAAATCATCAGATCCAACCAAATCATGGTCAAATACTGATATAGTGAGTTCCGATTCCATAGGAAAGGATATTGACATCTCCAACACTCTGAAAGGGGAAGAGAGAGAAAAATAATAATTAATAAACACATAAATACATAACTAAAGAGACAAATGGAAGATTCCATATTATATACAGCAAGTTCTAAATAATTATCATATACTGCTTGCTATATTCTCCCTTTAATTTTATCATATTATAGAGATTTCATGTGACCTGAGTGCCTGAGAGAAGGGAATATCAGTCAGGCACACGTGACATTCTCTGGCACAAAACTTTTAACATCTTCACCTTGAGGTCATGGACTGGTTCTGTATCACATGTGGTCAAGAGGTAGTCAGATGCCAACAATTCTCTCTTTATTGATCCTTCTGTTCGAAAATCATATTTGCCCACCATGACTCATTTGGGAAGTTCTCAATTTCCCTCTCCTCTCTGTTGCAAGTTAATTTTTGATCCATTAGACCTGCCATCCTAGACACCTTTTGGCTATTGGTTTTTCTTCTTCCTATATCAGGACCTGGGAACCTGTGACTCTACAGATGGTATTGTGCTCTGGTTCCCATTCACTCTAGTTACATTGGCTAATGCAGTGGTTCCCAACCTTTTTTTTTAACCAGGGACCTCTTGACCAGGGACTGTTTTGACCAGGGACCACTCTCCAACCTTAGTACCAAAAGAGTTACGAATTAGTTTTGGTCAACTTTAGATTTGGTTTGGTTATTTGGGGTGCTGATTCAGAAAATTGCATTGGATAGACCACATTAGCTCTAATTTCTGATACAGAACACATGCCATCCAGTAGTTGCCATGTGCTCACCCACAGAAAACCATATTTAATAATCTAGAGCTGATGTGGTCTATCCAAGGGGTCAGGGCTGGTCAGCAACAGGGAAGGAGTGGCAGGCAATACGAAAGGAGCGGAAATAAAATAAAATAAAATAAAATAAAGAGGAAGGAAGCTCGCAAACCAGTTTTTCATCTTTGCGGCCCATTGGTGGTCCACAGCCCACAGGTTAAGAACCACAGGGCTAATGGTAAGTCATGGTGAGAGTCCTACATCAAAACAGGGAGAACAAATGCCCCCCCGCCTCCTGCCCTTTAGCATCACCCCTTGTTTCTTGAATACTAGAGGGATTTGAAACTAGTGTTAGAAACAGAAATCCCTAACATTTTCATTTACAAGTACAAAAGTTCCCAGCCTTTTTTTGGCCATGCCCCACCTAAGCATCTCTAAAATGCTGATACTCCCACCCACTCTGGTGATGTATAATTCCTATTATTCAATAAGTGAACTCCTATTCACATGGAGGAAGCCTAAAATACTTCCTCCAAAGAACAAGCCTCCAAAGAACATGGCCTCCATGAAAGAGAAAAATATAAGAACAAATTGATTTGAGTAATCTACATCAAATTCAGGGTAACTTACGCACACAATGTCCAACTTCATTGTGTGTATTTGGTGAGAATGCAATGTTAAAAGAACACAGAGAGGAGCATTTGGAATGAAAGTTGCGTGATTTTTCTGTGCTCATGTTCTCTCTAGTTCACTCTATGTTCTCACCAACCCTTCCTCTCTATTAACGGGTTTTTCCTCTCTCCATTGTCACCAGCTAACCACTGTAGACATTCTGATTTTAATTTTTAAAATGTGTATATGTCACAATATATATTTATATATTGTATATGAGCCCCCTAGAACAATAAAGAATAAAAAACACATTGTTACAAACTCATTCTCAAATTGCTCCCCTTAAAAATCAAATTGCCCTATTGTGGGGTGTGGGCCCCACATTGGGAACCAGGGGTCTAGTGTCAACTATTTTGGTAATACTGGTTCAGCAAGAAGCAATGCAGACAAGGTAAAATAATGTCCTTACTCCCCGAAAACTGGATTGAGCTGCTTTGGGATATATCTGTCCTTGGTATCTTTCTGTTGTTGCCCGATTTTGACAACAAGGTAGGGATCTGCCTTCCCATTGGGATCTGCTGGAGTCAGATTAGTTGCCTAAAACATATAACAGGTGAGACTATAATGTTGTCAGCATGCAAAATGATACAGCAGCTATAAGAAAGAATTAGTTCACAGATTTGTCTGGAAATACAATCATTAAACCAAAGGCCATCTATGCCAAATAGAGAATGGATTAGCAATGGGACATTGTCCTCCAACACAGTTATTGGGAGATAAATTAGTAGCAACTTGAATGGAAAAGTCATCGTGCCTATACTTTCAATGAAAGAGAACAGGCCTTGAAGATGAATCTTGTCACAGTTCAAGGAATAGGTCAATAGAGATAATACAACCTTGATTATCAGGATCTGGGCTGGCAAGATGACACTGAAGCCAAAGTTTTAAGGCTCAAAAGTCACTACAAATACTTACTTTGACAATATAAATACGAACAAGGACCTTTATGGGTCTGTTTCTGGGGATGCCTTGAGAGATTTTGTGTTCTGCTTCTGCCTCTTCAGCCCGATAGACAAGGAATGATCCCTGAAATAGCAAAAATATGTCCAGCTGTGCCATATTTCTTTGCAGAATTGTACTCTGAATAGGACTATTCATGTATCAACTCTATATTAACCTGTGGTTCTTTTCTGTGTTAATTATTTTCCAATATTGCAAAAAAAAAAAAGGCAAGAAATTATATACTGCATTTTCTTATACTGGTAATTAGTTTTCTTCTTTCCTTTTTATTGTACTGGAATTAAATATGACTCAAAGTAATAATTACCTTGTATTTGCCCACAAAATTCTCCTCATCATTTCCGTCTTCATCTTCAGCTGCTTTTCCACGATGGAGTGGAAAAATACATAGCCAATCTTCAAAATTGTCAAATTCATTTTCTAGCTCAGAATTATAGATCTGAAATAAAAAGCATACTTATTGTAAAGTTTTCCTGTCACAACAACTGCTAACAAACCAAGATAGGAGAAAGAATGTAATGCATTGAAAGGATTATTTATTCAATGGTTCTTAGGGAATGCTTTGTGGATCTTTGGGCGATCCTAATGTTCAGTCTGCCTGGGAGTTAATTTGGCCCTTTCTTCTGCTCTGTGGAATCCTAATGAAATCCCAATTGTCATTCTAAAAGATGCTCTAAGATACACCTGTTGTACAGATGAAAAAAGAGATCTTGGACAAGGTATTTTGGACTACACTTTCCATAATTATCCAACTAAAGAAGTCCATTTAAATATGAGGGAAAACTGAATAATCAAAGTGCTTCAGTTGAATTGATCGGCTCTACCATGCAACAAACCAGTGTTTCTCAACCTGGGGGGTCACCAGGGGGTGTCAGAAGGGTTGCCAAAGAACATCAGAAAACACAGTATTTTATGTTGGTCATGAGGGTTCTGTGCAGGAAGTTTGACCTAATTCTATCCTTGGGGTTCAGAATGCTCTTTGATTGTAGGTGAACTATATAACCGAGCACCTACAACTCCCAAATGTCAAGGTCTATTTCCCCCAAACTCCACCAGTGTTCACATTTGGGCATACTGAGTATTAGTGCCAAGTTTGGTCCAGATCCATAATTGTTTTGAGTCCACAGTGCTCTCTGGATGTAGGTGAACTCAACTCAAGGTCAATGCCCACCAAACACTTCCAGTATTTCTGTTTGCCAAGTTTGGTTCAATTCCATCGTTGGTGGAGTTCAGAATGTTCTTTGATTGTAGGTGAACTAGAAATCCCAGCAGTTACAACTCCCAAATGAAAAAATCAAACCCCCCCCCCCCAACCCCACCAGTATTCAAATTTGGGCATATTGAGTATTTGTGCCAAATTTGGTCCAGTGAATGAAAATACATCCTGCATATCAGATATTTACATTACGATTCATAACAGTAACAAAATTACAGTTATGAAGTGGTAACGAAAGTAATTTTATGGTTGGGGGTCACAACAACACGAGGAACTGTATTAAGTGGTCGCGGCATTAGGGAGGTTGAGAAACACTACTATAAACAAAGTTAAACTATACCACCCAGGGGCTGAATCAAGATAATAGATTTTTATCCCCACTGCAGGTATTAGTTTGCTTATTAGTGAAAGGACTATATCATGAACAATCAGAAAGATTTTATGTAAATTTAAACCTGACTGTAATTTCCCATATTTTTTTCTCATATTTCATTCCCACCTGATCTAACTGCTTATAATCTCTTAGCAACCCTTGTCTGACTTGTGAAAGGGTTACCATCCCTGAAGACTTACCTGTAATATGGCTATAAGTTTCCTTTTGGGACGAACTGGCTCAGTTTCAACTTCAATCTCAACCTCAGGCAAATCCAGGGAAGCAATGTTTAAGTTCCCTCCATCTAAATAAGATACTGATAAATTAGTAAAGTATTCTGATCTACATAGAAAGCTATTTTTTTTCTGACTACTGGTTTGAAAATCAATACCCTGGTTGTTTTTCACCTTCCCTTTCTTCAGTATCACCTATTTCTAGAGAAAGGTAATTGGTACAAAAATTAGTAAGAAAAGGAAACAGCCAGGTCAGTTACTTGATCTCCTCTAGAAACAAAAAGAAAAGAAAATGAAGGCAGTGCAGCATCTCACAGTGGTTCCCAACCTGTAGTCCATGGACCACCAGTGGTCTGCAAGGAAGAAAATATGGTGTGTCATCACCATTATTACTACACCATTGCCTTGAAACCATGCAGCAACGAGAGCAACTGGTCTCGCAAAGCCCTCTTATAGTGCCAAGGCAACGGGGACATCAGGGGGGTGGGGAGAGGCTGACTACCCATGAAAGATTACTACTGTCACTTCAACTCTGGATTATTAAATATGGTTTTCAGTGGGTGGACAGATAGTGACTACTGGATGGCTTATGTTCTGTATCAGAAACTAGAGCTGATGTGGTGTATCCAAATCAATTTTCTGAATCAGCATGCCAAATGACCAAACCAAATCTAAAGCTGCCCAAAAATGATTCGTAACCTGTTTGGTACTAATGTTGGAGAGTGGCCCCTGGTCAAAGTGGGCCCTGGTCAAGTGGTCCTTGGTCAAAATGGTCCTAGTTAAAGTGGTCCCTGGTCAAAAAAAGGTTTGGAACCAGGATCACAGGTTAGCTTCTGTAACCAGATGGGATCTGGTACCCCCAACATATTTAGACCTGTTCTCTGTAAGCCCAGCACCTCATATGTGCAGATATGTGAACCAGATCTATTTATACAATGACTTTTGAAAGAAGGAGTAAATGGTTTAGGGTAGTGCTAAGTCGTTTTGGGGGATGAAGAGGGATTTTGAAAGCCTGAATTAATGCACTTGTTGTCATGTCTGACTTATGGTGACCACAACATTGAGGTATTTCCTTGGCAAGATTTGTTCATAGGGGGTTGCTTTTGGCTTCCTCTAAAGTCGAGAGAGTGTGACTTGCCCAAAAGCATTCAGTAGATTCAAATCCTGGTCTCCAAAGTCATAGTTCAATGCTCAAACTACTACATCATGCTGGTTCCCTCCAACATTTCACAAATAAATATGAAAACCACAACACAAGCAACATCAGAGTGCAGTCAAGATGGCAAAAATTATTAATGAAGAAGAACACACAGGTTAGGAGATGCTGTCACAGTTTGCCTGAGCCCACTGAGAACAACAATATTCCACTTCTTCCTCTCCTTTTCTATTTAGTTAATTGAATACAAGTTTGTAGTGACAAAAATAAACCAAGGACAAAGGGAAAAGTGAAAGGATGAAAAAGAAAGCAGGGCATTATAAAAGCAACTTTAAAAACACGATGACCAAGCAATAATTGGAACTATTCCTACCAAACTGGAACAACTGGAGGGTATGTTTACGTTGCCATATCAAGGACAGACTGTGTCATAATTATAATATTTATTCCTTCTAGACATGGCAAAGTTTAAGGATTTTACAAAAGCAACACTGATTTCACTCCTGTAAAAGAAACTGAGTCTATATAGGATTTCCCCAAATCTCAGAGAACCAACAAATTCTTGAAACTCTTGATGAGCTAGAAATTTTTTGACCTAGAAATCATAGGGAGAGGCAGGTAAGAAATATTATTATTATTATTATTATTATTATTATTATTATTACTATTATTACTATTATTATTATTACAGTAGAATAAACTCACCAGGATCATTTGGGTCATCCTCTTCCTCATCACTAATGGACTATAAAAAGACAAATATCATTCATTAAATTATGGTTGAAATCTAATATTCCATTACATTAACAAATGTAATATTCTATTATTTAACTATCTTAAGATATCCTTTTTTATCAGAAGCAACTACTTTTTCCAAAACACTGTAATGATGCAGTCAGCAGTCAGTAAACACTGATGCTGTAAGAAGGAGATAATATGTAGAACACAAGTGTCTGTATTCTTATTCATTTTCTCTGTTTTAATTATCTTGTTTTGTTGACTGCATTAGATTATAAGCCTAGTTTGGCTATGCTTAGCTTTACACTGCTTATATATATATTTTAAAAAATACTACAGTACTTATTCTTTAGCCTTTTTCATGCTTCTGCTCAAGACGCCTCCAGAACTCCAGCAAAGCTCTCTCCACTCTAGCTATCCTATCCCAGACCTCAGCTTTACAATCACAGAATCCATTTTTGCAGGTGTTCAACTTCAAAAATTGAATTATAATACAATGCCATAGGATGTAACAGAGACAGCAGGCATCACCTGCTTATTTAATTCCTTTAATGATTCATAGTATTTGGACCACCAATCCAGCTCTTCTTTTTCAGGCTTCTCTTCCTCAAATTCTTCTTCCTTGGGACCCAGTTGATCAATAGGGAGTTTCTTCAGAGGGGCCTGAGTTTAAATGACAAAGGAGTATATAATAAATTAAATTAAGGGCAGTTTAAAGTAGTATCAGAGTGTTACAAAGAGGATAACAGATAAGTATGGTAGTCCCCATCAGTAACCAAGGTCTCAACTACCTGCATCCAATAAAATACTGTATGTCCTCTCTAGGATTTTTCTAGGTCTTCTAAGTTGATCTATAACAGTTATTCTCAACCTGTGGGTCCCCAGGTGTTTGGGCCTACAACTTCCAGAAATTCCAGCCAGTTTACCAGCTGTTAGGATGTCTGGGAGTTGAAGGTCAAAATATCTGGGGACCCACAGCTTGAGAACCACTGATTTATAGCTTCCTTCTGCTGAAAGCTACCGCAGAGTTGTCCTAGAGGACATAGGAAATGTCTAGGTCCTTTAGGACAACACTATGGTAACCTCCAGCAGAAGTAATTCATTTCAATGGGGTTTGTAAATAATAATAATAATAATAATAATAATAATAATAATAATAATAATGTTCCTTTTCCCAAAGAAAATTTAGAACCTATCCCTTGAAGCCGTGGGGGATGTACTGTAACTACTCTGAGAAGAGTAGATGACAAGAAAATGAATGAAAATGCTCTACTCACCTTTACAAGCTTAAGGGGATTTGCTTTGCTTCCAATGTCTCCAGCAACTGCTCCGATGTTTATTACTGTCTGTCCGGCAGCAGCACCAATATTTACAACTGTCTTCCCAGCAGTTGCACCAAGGTTTATTACTGCTTTGGAGATATTTGGTCGTGAGGCTTTCCGCACTGAAAGAGAACCGTGTAAATCATGTAGTTAATAGTACTACATGCCTTCCTTGGCTGTATTATTTTCACTTTACCAATTAGCAATGCCAAGCCCCAGACTCTACCTTTCAATTAAACAAAAATAGAGCTTGAAATGCAGTCCTGTCTTAACTCATCCTAAAATTCTCTTGTTTAGTATATAAAGTCTGAAATATAATCCATCATACCATTGTTTGAGGAGACATGCAAATATTGTTTAAAGGCCTTGCTGTAACATTGTCCTGAACCATCCTGTTTTCAAAGACTGATACCATTAAATGCCTTCTGTAAGTAATTTTCAGCATCACTTTTGCTGACCTTCTCTTCATTTAATGCTTAAAAATGGCTACACCTAGAAGTGAAGGAGCTGCTCTAATCCAACATCATGTGGAAGGTGTCACACTCAGCTCATATTAAATCCCAGTATATTGACCAACCTTCTTAGGGCCTTTCCACACAGCCCTATATACCAGAATATCAAAACAGAAAATCCCACATTATCTGAGTGTGAACTCAGATAACCCAGTTCAAAGCAGATATTGTGGGATTGCCTGCCTTGATATTCTGGGATATAGGGCTGTGTGGAAGGGCCCTCAGTCATATTACCCCATTTCACAGGAATGTGTACTAAATGTTTCCAGATTATGAGAACTTACTCTTGGATGGGCTTTCTGTTTCTTCTTCCAGTTCATCAAGCTCTTTAGGAGCAAACTTCATAATGTGGGAGACTATGTGAGTTCCCACCATGACCGAGCGCCCAAAGGCTCTCTTCTCCACCACAAAGATACTGAGAGGTGGGTGCAAATACACTTGCTCTGGAAGTTCCTGTGAAAAGGACAAACAAGCAGCAGAAAGCAGATTATAGAAAATCACCAAAGCATTCAGAGACAAGTTGCTTGGGTATATGTGCATGATGTGAAGTTTCATAAAAAACAGCATGTTTCATCAAAATACAATTTAAAAACAATCCACAGATCAACTCTAAAATAATTTTTAGTCATTCAGCAATAAGCAGGTAGATATTCAGCCGTTCTCACAATATCACATATGGTCGAATATCCTCAGAGAATGGGAACACTACTTAACCCCATTTTATTGTTGTTTGTGTAATGTATTCTATTGGGTTTTATGATTATTTTTATGACTGAATGTTTATACTGTTTATTTTCTTTGTTTAAATGGGATGGGGTATAAATAAAGTTTGATTGAGTTTGATTGACAAACATATAAGAAAACAAGTAAGATAATGGTAATTCTTACATGATGCCTGTCCAACTACAGTAATTTATTTTTCTTCTGTTCTGTTCAGCAGGATTTGATTTGATTTGATGCATATCACCCACCTTTCCCCCAGCATGGGATCCAAGGTAGAAAAGATTTATCCCAACCTTTGGAAAGTGTTTCCTGATTCATACTCACCACATTGACACATTTGACAATTTCATTGAAATTTGGGTTCTCCTTATATGTTGTAACCACTTCTGATTCTACTTTCTTCCCAGCACATTCAATGATCACCTGCGGCTGGTCAACCTCAAACAAGTTCACACGCTTCAGATCTCTCAGGCCCCAAAACAATATCTAAGGAATAGAAAGCAAAATTGTTGACTAATATGGATATATAGGCTGCAACAGTCTACTTCTCTAAAATATATCTGTTCTCAAGGCTCACAGAAATGACTTACCAAAACCAAACAACTGATGCATTTCATAGTTACAGCGGTCCCCCTAAATACACCTGGTGACACATTGTGGCTAAATTACTATGGGGTAATCTAGATGATTAATTTATGAATAAATCTGCCATTTTTAAAATTTTGTGTTGAAAGCATTGCATAAATAAATAAGTATAAAACTGATAAAATAGAGGTAACACAACCAGCTAAAAAAATTTAGACCAAAAACGGGCAACAGCGACTGCATTGTCTGTAGCTTTAAATAGTTCTTCTGTGTATGAGGCAGGGCATTGTGGGCAAACATACAGATATTGAGTTGTTTGATTTAGGTCTACTGGGAGGAGGCTGATAGCCATACAGTGAGTGGCTTTCACATTGTTCAGCCTTATTTCTGTCACAGTTAGAAGCAATTAGAAAATATAATTTCAATAAAGTTAACCGGACAAAGTTTACAGTGTTCCTGGAAACAGCTGTTTCTGATACAGAACCTTCTATGGAAGACTATGACTTGTTTGTAGAAGCTGTGAAAGGATCCTTGGAGCTCTCAATCCCTAGAGGCTGTCGTACAAGCTACCTACCAGGCCTAATGAAGAATTGCGAAAACAGCTACAGGAATATCAGATTATTTCAAGAGAATCCATGTGATAAAACTATAGCAGCAGGCTACAAACTATCTATAGCCATAGATAATGCTAAGAAAGACCACTGGATAGAGCTACTTGAGAATGTATTGTCGAAGGCTTTCATGGCTGGAATCACTAGGTT